CATTAACTTCTTTACTGCACAAACAGCTTGCAGTTGCATTGCTAACTACTGTGGCACGCTACACACAAAGACCATGCATCTCTAACTGTGTGCTCAATGTCTTGTAGACAATATCGCCTAACAGCCTTTCTGGAATGGGTCCTGCAAGGCGAGAGATTGGGTCGAGGCCATCGTGTCGTTTTACCCGCTGATGTGGTGCAGGCTCTCCGACAGAAACATCCAGCTCCAGATGGCCAGTACTGCGGCACCGAGACGTTGAGGACGCTCAGGAGGAACTATAACTGTCATTGTTAACATATTTATTTTTGTTGTTGTTGATATATTTCTGTAAAGAAATGGTTTACATTCATGTTGTTTTAGTCTTTGATAGTGTTAGTGGGAGCGGCTTGCGGAGCTGTGCATTGTGGGAGTTGTTGTCTTTAATCTAAATGCGCCCTAAAGTCACTTTCTGTCTTTTCTCGGTCAAATAGGCACCAAATTCAAAATGTATGTTCCATTTCGACTACATATATAACCCACTTTCAATAAATATTAATGTTTCCACGGATGAAATGCTCCTTTAAGAGAGGGGAGAGTGTGATTACTCAGTGAGTACCAGCTGAGATCATCAACTCACCTGGTGCTGCTCTCACAAGCCTTCCCCACACCTGTCTCTCCTGCAGCTAGCTCATTGTAAACCACACCCACCTCCACAATTCTATATACTGTCAATGGTATGAATGTGTGGTCATGAATGTTATTTTTTCCGACCTGTTAGCGTTAATCAAATGTAATGAATGGCTGTATTACAGCTTGTTCACAGTGCCTGCATCTGCATGGCGTGTGCGTGGCGGAACGTCTTGTGTTTTTTTTTGGCACCCATGTTAACAGATTAATGTTAATGTTAACTTCACTAGAGAGTCTTTTACTTAAAGATTTTAAAGAGCACATGTTGGTAGTCATATCCAGTTGCCTTCTTAAAGTAAAAGCACTGTAGTAATCTTTTATTTAACACCACTTATCTCTCCTGTACTAGCTTCTCTGCACTGGCTCCCTGTAAAATTTAGAATAGAATTTAACCTATAAAGCTCTTTATGGTCAGGCCCCTTCATATCTTAAAGAGCTCATAGTACCCTATTACCCCTCTAGAACACTACGTTCTCTGAATGCTGGGCTACTTGTGGTTCCTATAGTCTCTAAAAGTAGAACAGGAGCCAGAGCCTTCAGTTACCAAGCTCCTCTCCTGTGGAACCAGCTTCCAGTTGTGGTTCAGGAGGCAGACACCCTCACCACATTCAAGAGTAGGCTTAAGACGATTTCCCATGGTGCACTGAGCTCCTCTCTTCCTCTCTCTTTCTGCACTCATTCATGTCCCATTAATGCATGTTACTAACTCCACTTCTTCCCCGGAGTTCTTGTGCTTTCTCGTCTCGCAGGTTCTCATGGATCCTGGTGGAGCCTCCTGCCATGGTCCTGCTTGACTCCCACTGCTAATATTACTGATATTATTGTTATTATCATCATCATTATTATAGTTACTATTATTATTGTCCATCGTTGTAGCTGTTGTCATCATCATCATCATCATCATCATCAGTCATTTCTATTAGTATAGTCCTACTGTTGTTGTTGTTCACCTTTGTCTCCGTCCTTCTCTCTTTACCCCATTAAAAGCCAGTTAAAAAACCCATTGACTTTGAGGTTAGGGAATCGAAGGTGCTAAAATGCTAACTAATTTCTAGATTTTAGGACTCATTCCTGCAGCACTTTATATGTAACAATAATAATAACTATGGCAGCATGTACACTCCTTATAACATTTACAGAGACCCAACAGTTCCCACCATGAGCAAGCACTTGGCGACAAGGGCAAGGAAAAACTGCCTGTTAAAATGCAGAAACCTAGGACAGACCCTTCGGCTCTAGGTGGGTGGTCGTCTGCCTCGACCAGAATGAGATCTGCTCATTCAATATATCTACACCATATATTTCATGCATTGACTTGTAGCCTCTGCCAGAGCCCCTGTAATAACTGAATCGTCTCTGTAGGATTCCTACGTGTCATTTGTCTTTTCAGAGACTGTCTAGCTGAGGTAAGTATTGGTTTCTAGACAATGGCCTGTGGAGAAAAAGCGTGATTTTCATCTCCCCATGGTAAGTCCATTCAATCCAGTGACAATGGACCGTATGAACCCATTCATTCTCAATATGGACCTCAGTGTGGGATGCAAGTGTTTGCAGGAGGATGCATTTGCGAAATTAGCAGTTCCGGGCATAAATAATACTTTCAGGACAGGGAGATGACGCATAGGAGGAGATTTTTGGCAATGACCTCACCTCCTAACCCGATGACTTAACTTAGAGATTCATATCTGGAAGGAAACTGGGGAGTCGACCTTAGCACTTCACCGGATTAAATCAGAGGTCCCACCGGTTGTGTGTCTGAGTGTGGGTCTGTGCATGTGTGTGGTCCAAGGACAGGTAGCAGATTTGATTGGGTAACTGCTGTGAGGCCTGCGCTGACTGCAGAGCATCTGTCAGTGTTTATGCTAACGTTTCCCAGTGGAGACGCCACAGCATCTGTGATCACGAGGAGAAAAGACAAAATGTTTGTCCAGCATCTTGTTTCACATCAGACTCTGTCACACATTACAGAACACTGGGAGCCCATTCATTCCTGTGAGGGACATTACTTTTCTTTATTGGATTACTGTAAAGAAAGGAGAGAGACAGGAAGGACGGGGAGCGAGACAAAGGTCGTGGGCCTCTTTCATTGCTAGGAAATCCAATGAAAAAAACTAAATATCATTTAAATATGGGGAAAATATTCTCTCTTGGAAGACATTCCTTGTGTTTCACAGAAGTTACAGAAATTGTTTGACACAGTCCCCATATAAATAGAGTTTAAAAATTGTCCCTGTGTATGAAAGGTACTATACAAATTAAAGCTTCAGTAGCTAACTTTTATAAAAATAACTTTTTGTCATATTTGCTGAAACCTTCACTATATCCTGACAGTAGAACATGAGACAGCTAATCTGTTCCTCCTAGTGCTCCTAATGGCATTTTCAAGAATCCACCACACCTGGACGAAAACAACCAATCAGAGCTTAGAACGATAGAATTTGGATTGGAGGATTAAAGATGTTAAGGAATGAGACTCAGCAATTATCTTTCTTGGCTCTGATTGGTTATTTTGTGGTGGATTATTGCAAATGCCATTAGGAGCACTAGGAGGAGCCAGAGGAACATGCTGCAGTTTTAAATTTGCTTTCCTTAATATTTGAGGATAAAAAAAGTTAATCTTTACAACCGTAGGTGACTGTATTATGACAATAACAGAGTGTTGGTATCTTTATCAAATGGAAAAGAAAGAAGAAACTCAGATTTACCTTTGACATTTAAAGTAATTTGTGAATATGTGCTGTCTTATTACTGAACTTGAAAAATATGAAGCAGACACAGACACTCCTGCCCTCCATTGTCAACTCAGATCACAGAGCAATCTTCATTTGTTATTTCAACCTTTGGCTTGGTTGCTGCAGAAACCTGAGACTTTTATGTGGAAGAAGATGTAATAATTACCCAACACTTCCTCTGAGACGCCGGCCCACGGCTGCTTCAGTCCACTCCTTCCTGCCAGTCCACGTATTGGGTTGCTAATGGCTTTTACCCACTGATGTACGAGATGGTGGGAATGCTCGTCTTTGGAGGGCTGAGTCATTAATATTTACCAGCCTAGAGGGGGTCAAGGTAGAATGGATCAGGCCACCTTAAATAAAACATGTCACGCCAAAGCGACCACTCCCTCGGTCCCCCTCTCCAGCTCTGTCATAGCCGCAAGTAGATTTACTGTGAGAGTGTGTAATATTAATCTTTGAGCTGGTTCTGTGCGTGTCATTTGTGTAAAACAAGCTCTGTGGTCATGGCTGTTTAATGAGAATGGTGTAATCCACTTTATCCCAGGGTACAGGGGATAAATCAATAGACTATAAAGTTCTGGTTTGGTTACTTTGCAGGCTGAAACATTGCTATAAAAAATGATCTGCGTGGTGTCTGGGGGTGTAAAAGCTTTTAGGCACAATACCTGTGCAACATATCAAAGTTTTATAATGCAGGCTTTCAGACTTTACATGGAAGGGTTAAACAGCAGTGATGTACTTAATACCAGACGGATAAAAGAGCTCATCATTATCAGAATGTGATGTGCAGGGACTTCTGGTAGAGCAGGTCATGGAGATATCTTTGATTTCTACTGCAGGAGATGTGATCATGCATATCGATCGCAGCCCGTATGGGGTAGGACATTTAAAAAGAGTCCAATATGCAGGGCCATTTTTCATCCCCAGTCTGTCCCTGATTGTGGGTAACCAGGTTTTGATGACGATATCTCTGGTTCTGCTGGATCGATTTTGCCCAGTGTTTTTTACCTGTGTATTTTGACATTAAAAAGGATACAAAATGGTGTGTTTCTCCATTTCATTACAGTGTTGATGTAACATGAAATTTGATCTGGAGTTTGCATAGGATATTTTATTTTTCAGATTCTGTATGCCTTCCTTGTCAGTGCAATCTGCTCTGTGCTGCTTGATGCGAGTGGGTCATGGCTTTAACATTTTGAAATGGCAGTGGTCACTTGGTGCAAATCAGATCTTAATATCAAGAGAGTGATGGTTGACTGGATGCATAATTAGCTAAAGCAATACAGTCAGATTTATCTGTGATGATCAGTTCTCAGCCAAAGACAGCATAAATTACATGTCTGATGAATTTTGTTGAGATGGAAGCTGTACACTGATAATCATAATCAACTGTTCACAGATGTCAAGTAACAGCTGATAACCTCCAAAGTGTCTGCTACATTACCTGGGGGACCTCTACTTATTCTACAGATGTTCAACTAAACACAAGGTCAGACAACACATTGTTCTTGTTAGTCTTTGAAACTACAATAGATAATATTAAGCATCTGCTCCGAAAACATGACAAGCTCAGAGATGAAGAGACCAGGCGTCAGGAGGTAGAGAAAAGGAGATAGCTTTACTATAAAGAAGGCGTCGCTAGCAGAAGTTGCAACATCTCATCATACACGCATACATGGTGAATATATTTATGCCATTTTCTGTTGAGTATGTACCTTACAAAAGCTGTTATTTTGCGTGTCGAAGCAAGACTTTGACGAGCTGCTCTGATACACATGGTAAAAACAAGAAGATGCTAATATGAGAATTCATTAAAAAAAAAAGCCAAACAGCATGTGATCAATCCAAAAAAATCCAGTTGCACCAGTAAGATTCTAGACTTTGCAGCATTTTGAAACAAAGAGAAACACAAAGCTGTAGAACTGCACATTGACATTTTCTTTTCCCCGATGAAAGGTGAGCTGAGGCGATGCTAAGAGTAAAAAGAGACGCTTGGCTCCGTGTGCACCTCAAATCAACGTGCACAAACAAAAGGACAAGAAAAAAAAGCACTGTGTTTCAGCAAATATGCATAATTCTCTTTTCTTTGTTATATAGCCAGTCTACAACATTCCCCTATTGTGATCCACTCGGGGGCGGGGAGAATGGGGATGCAGGTTTCCAGGACAGATCTTAAAGAAAACACTTCCAACGAGTCCAGTTTGAAAGTTCGGACCTACGTTCACCAATGTTTGATCTCTCAGTGCTTTTTCTTCCAGTTTTCTTCCATCGCAGCACCAGTCTGCTGTTTTTGCTCACACCAGCGTTAGAGTCAACATACTGTAAAACAATGGTATCAGAGGAAAACACTCAACTGATTAAAACTAAGAAGATATTGCTTTGAGTTCCTGCAGAGAGACATAAGGAAACATTAGTTTTTGGAATTAGTGGCACAGAGGTTATGTTTTAGAATCATCAGACTTTTGTTTTAAAAGGGGGAAGGAAATACCAGGCCAGAGCTGTTTTCAAAATGGCCGCCTGTCACCGGGACACAAGCTGTGTTCCATTTTAGGGGCCTCCTCCTTACAAAGTGTTACAATGGATGGACAAGGTCAGTTCGACTTCAAATGAGTCAAGAACTGCAGGCTTCTTTTGCCAGATTTGGTTAATGGATTGTGGACCTGTCAAATGTTTAATGGTGCATTTAAGCAATCGTGGTCAACTTGTAATAATTGTCAGTTAAAGCTGACTAATTGTAAAGCCAATACAGGATGCAAATGTCAGCTGGGAATAAATTCCACCTTTTTTTCTTGTTTTGCCAACTGAAAATGTTAATCATATTCACCTTTTTACCTGCCTGTTCGTCAGATGGCTTTACCCAAGTTTATCACTGGTATTTACCACTTCTAAACCTTTTCCACTGACATAATGTAAGGTAATGGGCCACCAACTGGCATCAGTTGGGGTTTGTGAAAACATCTTGCGTTGTGGTTTGTCCCGAAACAGCTTACTCACCTACCAAAGAGAGTAAAATGACATAGATGGCGAGGCAGGGAAAAACCTATTACCAAAGTTTCACAAGATCCTTAAAAGTTAATGTTATGGGAGACCCAGGTTATGAATTATTAAGGACCTGCAGTATTTTTCTTGGAAGTGTGGATTTTTCAAGTTGATGAGATTGCCTGAATGTAGCATTATGGCGCAAAATATACATGGATGTGTACAGTGGACATGCACACACTTTTGTTTTCATGACGCTAGTCTTCTGCATAGGTGGACATAATGACAAGTTGGTGTGTGTGTGGTCCAAATGAATAAGACAATAATTTGAGCTTTAGTTTTGGTCTGTCTTAGGCCTGACAGGAGGAGCAGACTCAATGTTCAGTCCTCTAAAATGGAACTAGCTATGTAACAATAGGCATGTTAGGTGAAAGGCATTATGGGAACAATGAGTCTATGCAGTCTCAGAGTGATGGCAAACAGTTTAAAGGAGGGGAGTTTGTTCCAATACCTCGGCAAATGCATGTTTTTTTTAGGCCTACTAGCAGCTTGTGCGCGACAGTGCTACAAACGGTATATTGCAGGAGCACTTACATCTTATTTACATCATAAAGAATCTAATGTATTCCTCTTTCACAATATAGAATCCAAACCATCAACCAACAAGCGACTGATGGACTTGCCACAGTCAGTACCATATTTCACAATGTCAAAGAAAAGGGCAACACAGAGTGAAGAATGATTCTTGTTACTTTTTCAGAGTGCAAATGTTAGTCAAAGCTACAATACAAAGGTGCGTGACAGACTAGAGATGCACGCGTCGCATTTGCTCAGTGGATACAGATTTGTGATTTTTTGTTTCCTTTTCGGATAAAGCATTTTTCTGGGGAAATCGACTTAAATATTTACAAAGACAAGGACCTACATGTACAGAATATATGTCAAATGAATAATAAGCAACAATATTAACTTTTTGTGTGGTGGAAAAGTTTTGTTACATAAATCTGAATAACACAGAGTAATACAACATGAGTACAAGAAGAGCAGCACAACGGACGGATAAACATAACCTTTTCATGTACGATGACGGGTATTTTGTTGTTTTGTTTACAGCAGACAACATACTGTTGTGTTTAATGCCTCTTATAATGAACAAAAACTGATTCTGGAGACATCTTTATTTTGGCTATTCCTGGTGTGAAACGACAAAATAATTTGGTCGAAAATGTGTATGCAACAATAATTAAATTAAGGACTAATATATTAATACTATCCACATAATGTAATAAATAGAAATATAAAATAATATTAATATTTAAAATACAACTCCAGTCGCTAACTGCAGTAAAGATCTATGTGATTTAGGGTTTAATAGTGCCGTTGAGTAGCAGGTAACTACAGTATGAGTGCCAAAGTTATGTGGTGAAACCAATGAGCACTCAGTGAACATTTAGTATAAAATCAGGAAACCCAAATCATTGAGTCAGTCCATCAGTCTGCTAATAGAATGACTACATGGCAAATATGGTTGAAGAACAAGTGAAATACTGAGTGTGTGTACTTCTAAAAACTTGTTCTGTCACACAAATATTTTTCTTTTTTCTGTTGTCCTCTGCAAAAACTGAAGAGTAAGCTTATGCGCCTAATTTCAAAGGGTGGCTGTGAATTTAATGTATATATCATCATGCTGTAAATTTAATTCAAGTATTCTACGTGGCCCTAACGCAGTCCTTTTTTTTTCATCAGTAATGATTAACAAATTGATTGAGTTTATAAAAACTAGAGGGAAGGAAAGAGGTGTAGATGCTTCTCTCAGGGTGGATTCAGACTAAACATGAAGACAAATTTAGAGGCGGTGCAATTGCATATATGTTACAAAGACGTAAGAGGAAAAACAATCATGAATTAAGCCGAAGATGTGCCCATCCGAATTGAAAATGTTGACAATGTGAGCAAATGTGTGCCTATTCTGATGACTCCAATTAAACGTACAGAAAAATAAAACAAAGTAAGAATTGGAGGTTGGTGTGGATGTTGCTAGCTAAACACCTAAAGTCTGTACATTGGCTGTTTAAGGCGAATAAAGACAGACTGCAAAAACAATCCAGTGACGAAATTTGTGAGAAAAACGCAAGGCAGAAATTTAGTCTGAACACACCTTAAGGATCCCAGCCTCTCATGCTGCATTCATGTCCCATGGGAGAGGACGTAGATATTAGCTTCCATCTCGAAAATATTATACATCTCAGCTTAAAGGGACCCTTAACTAACAGAATTAATTCTGGTGTCAAAGCTAAGAAAATACATGTAGGAAAGTTGTAGAGGAATATAAATTCTTTTTTTTAACCTTTTTTCCTTTCATAGTAAGTCATTATGCGATCACCATGTTGGATTGACGTTGCAATGTTTGGTTTGGTGTAAAAAAAGGACCACTCACTTATTCATGTTGTAACAAATAAGAAACCAGCAGAGAAACAGAATCATAGAAGCTTTACAGCTCCAAAGAAGTACAACCATCCACCAACAGTTGATCCCATTTGACATGAATGCAGCATTAGCCTGCATGCTAAATAAGGAATCACTGGGTTGTGAACTACTGGTGTTTCTCAAGCAAAACTAGTGTTCCTCTCTGTTGCCTTCCCATTTCTCTTGCACTAAGTTACTACCATGCTTCCAAAATAATATTTATCATCTTTTTTAAAAAAAAGAAAAGGGATTCATCAACAACATACTGTAGCAGAGCTTGCTGCTTGTGGCAGAAATAGCTCTTGTTGTGGCGGCCATTTTGAACATCTGCACTACAACATTGGATTCGAGGTAAGAAAAACATGTCTACCACGTCATACAAGGCAAAGTGAATAAAAGCAAGTGATTTAGCCTGCAAGTGGTAACGAAACGGAAAATGTGTACTTTTACTAACCAGATTAAACCCAAAATGGTATGGAGGTGATAGTGCATAGTTTTGCAGGGCACTAAAATGTGTGCCATGACTGTATTCAGCACTCATTAAGATTCAATGACTCGTCTACCAGCTGTGGAAAAACTAAAATCTTTCATTGCGTAAATATCAATATGATAAACATATCTGCCGGCATCCTGTTGAGTTTGATGTTTACAAGCTGATATGTTACAGGACGGGGCCAGTGTGTGTGTGTGTGTGTAAGGGACCTCTTGTGTGTACTTTACTGGGATGCTACACAGAGGAGGTATGATGGGCGTATCAGGAAGGAGAGCACGGGCACTGAAAATGTTCGGAGCAGAAACCAACCAAAGAAAAATCTCTAAAGAATGCTTGTTGATGCTTCCAAATGCTGAAAGCTGCCCCGAAGGCACACTTAGTCTGTGTGGGTAAAGGGCAGGCAGAGCGCAGAGGAAAACGAGCACTGTCCACTTTGTCCAAACGTCACCTCCAAGGGGCCAATTTCTCAGAGCTGGAAACATAAAACAAAGGCTTGTGGTCTAATTCCACCCCCGTGTTCCTCTCTTACTTAATCTGCAGAGGAAAGCCTACACAGTCTCCAGACAGGCCCTGCTGCGTTTGTTTAATGTGTTTCATATTGTAATATATTCGTGTGTGTGTGTGTGTGTGTGTGTGTGTGTGTGTGTTTGTGTCTGGTGTATGATGTTGCTCTCAAATCAGAGGGCGCTACTGAGTCCCCTGTGTGCCACTATGTAGCTACGCCAGTGAGTAGATGGCGTTGACGGGCGAGGTGGCCTCGGAGCTCTCATTGCCCTCCGTCTCGTCCTTGTCCTTCTTCACCGTGTACTGGCCGATGAAGGAACCGTCCTCGTTGAACTGGCCATCTCCACCTTCACCGTAGTCCACTAGACTGTCATCGCTTTCCTTCACGTTGCCGTCCAGTGATGTCTGGCTGCCCTGCAGAGGCTTGTTGTCCTCGTCGCTGCTGCAAAGGTGAACAAGGAGGAGGGTTGAAGATTAAAATGGGAGCAGGGTGTTGTTGCACAGTGTCAGCAGGAGTTGGGGACCCTGACGACCCCATTGGCACAAGTTAAAAGGGAAAAGTGAAAGGTTAAGGGGATTGCAGGTAAAGAAATGATGTTAATTCCATAATCAGGCCTTGTCAGACAAGAATTTTTACTTTTATGATTCATTTCTTTTCCATATTTTCCTTAAAGAATAGCCTTGGATATTTTCAATTTTATATTAATGCAGTATTCACATGCCGTGTCATTTGGAAGAGTTATTAATCTCTGTATTCATTCCTCCTAACCACACTGGCCATGAAGGAGTTCCTTCGTAGATTGAGGATGATGGGGACAAAATCCACACTCCTTGTTCTATGAAAAGATGCATTCTGAAGTTATTGTTTGGTACTTTTATTTTTAATTAGCCAAAGCTAATATGAGGCTTCAGATATCTGAGTTTGGTCTTGCGATACCAGACGATCGGAGATTTCAGAGCCTACCAATCATCTGGGGATTTCTAAATCCACCGCTAACAAACATACAACTCTTACTTCAACGACACACCTGAAACAAAGCTCTCCCTGTATTCTTTTAAAAACATTGAAAATGGATGTCCTAAGCAACGTTATGTGGTACAACACTGTTTTTAGCGCACAACTTACGCATGTCACCGCCCTAGAGACTTTGGGTTGGTTCTGTAAGCTACGAAAGCTGGGAGAAAGCTTTCAGTACTCAAGCGTTTAGAGACTGACTTGTGCGTCTAATCAAAAATCAAGTGAATATCTTCATCCTGGTAGTTGTGTGCAAGTTTATTTCTGATGTTTTGTAAGGATCAAAAATACATGCCATCACCAGGATGTATATCCCTGCCCATGGAAATAGAAAAAGAAAATGTTGTACTAAAGCTCAAAATACAATTTTTGTGTCCACAAAGTTGCAAGGGTCTGTGTGACATGAATTTCATCATCTCCTCATATAATGGATGTCCATAAAGAATACATGTGGCCTCTTTACAGACATTTGTGTGCAGCTTGGGCTACTTTTTGGGCAGGTCAAAATTGTTTTGCATGGGTTGTGATAATTTGGGCAATGTTTGTAACATTTGTGCAGTTTCCATCAAATTTAGGACATATTCCAATAAATCATTCCCTCATCTCATTTTAGGTAAGCAGTTGACATTGACAGGGCACCAACACGCAATGACTGGTAAATGATGATAGCCAATTGTCATTTTAATTTATTACAACTAGGTTGAAACTTAATCCAATTATTATTCCATGATAGCTTTGTGATACAAGACTTGTAATCTGTATATGTGAGTTAGATCTTCTCACATCTAATGTTTAATCTAAAAGACTTTTCTGACTCTTACTGGCTGTAAGTTGTGATGCTCTGATTGGGCTACTTTTAGTCACTCCAACATCTGTTGCAGACAACTTAGGGAATATATCTGTCCCTCAGATATGAGCCTGTTGAATCCTCATATTAGCTTCAGCCATATTGTAGAAGGCTTTTTTGCATGGATCACAGAGAGATTTGGTCCCACATTAAGCTTTAATGGCAGTATGGAACAGAAGAGATGATTACAACTCTCTCAGCATACATATGGCATGTGACTATTGTATCAAAACAGACTTGAGAAAATCCAAACCAGTCCTTAAACAACAAAGCTGCACTTGCATTTTATACCAAAGATGCTTGTTGATCAACAGTTAAAAGTCGATTTTGCAGAACGCTATACAGTATTCGTTTATGTGTTTTAAAAGCAACCCTTGTCTCCTAAAAATTACATTCATTTAAAACTCATTTGCACTGATATGTTTCATAGGAAATGTAATTCTGCCTGGAGTAAGTTCTTTATCAGTGTAACACATACAAAATGTTTATACTGAATGAATCTGCTACGATCAGTCAGCATATTTCATTCATTTTAGTCTTTCCTTCACTTTAACTAAACCCTAAACATCAAAACACATAGAACGGACAAGGACTCTACGATGTAGTCCTGTGCTTGGATTATCTGTTACAACCTCATCCCTATAACTTCTGTAGACTGTAAGAACGTCATACTTACTGGACTGGAAAAAATACTGCCTGTTGAAATATTCCAGGCAGCAATTACATTTTCTCCAAAACATATCTGGCAAGGCAAATATACAGTATTTTGTAGGAGACAGGGGTGATTAAAAAAGATAAATACTGTCCTCAAAAATTCACTTGCATACACATGCTAAATGGTGGCCGTATTCTGACATGAGATCTAAGCATGAAAACTCCATCGGACCTCATTTATGGAGCTGTGCTTGATCTCAGTTCAGAGCATGGCTGCATGTCTCCTAACGCTGCTTTTAAAGGGGAAGAGAACTTCATGCACAGGGAGTAAGAGCTACAGACTAGCATTAGCTTTCTCTTAGATCAAGCCAGTAGCATAACAGCAAGAAATGCATTTGAAGGATGCAAAAGTGAGATATTTGTCTGCAGGGATTTCTCTTCCCATCTCATGTCTGTGCATTTCATGGTTATCAAACATGGTGTATTCAGATTCCCTAGGAGAGGACAGAATCTACGCTTCTCAGAATCATCATGCTCCATGCTGAAACTCTTCACCGCACAACCACACAAATCACCTAATACATTTGAGAAACCATACATGTTAATAATCAAGAGACCAGGACAGAGGCAGCACAATACAAGCCTGACACAATTACAATCCAGCAAATTCACCTTAATCCAGTATTTACAATGTACAACAAAACCTTTCAGAGTAGAGCAAGAGACAAGGAGAGAAGCAGAGACGGGCTGACACGTAAGAAGGTGAGGAGATGTTACACAGAAGATGGAGTGGAAGTTGAGCATAATGCGATGGAAGTGGTGAATAAATGGCAGTAATCTTATCAATTGTCCTTTTTGGTCTGTGTTGCAATAACAGTTGAGCAAACCTCTGTCAATTTTCTCCTTTCCTGTACTCATGAAGGATAAATTAAAATGCCAAGTTTAAAAAAAAAAAAAAAAAGATAATTAATTAAATTTTTAAAAAAAAAAATAAAAAAAAAAAGAAAAAGATAATATATTAAATTTTTTTTTTTATTTTTTTTTTTTTTTATAAAAAAATTTCTTTGGAGATTTTTATTTTTTTTTGGGGGTTTAAGAAAAAAATTGGGGAAGAACACTAGGTACTTTGGCAGAGCAGTCAGTTTTTTAGTCAGTAGTTTTACTTATAGCACTTTGAGATATTCATCTTGAAAAAAAGACTGCCTCAACCCCAAATCCATGGAGATGAATGGAAGTTGGTCTGTGTTATCTAACTGCAGTTTTCATTGTGTGAAAATGTTTTTACTTTTGTTTTTTGTTTTTTTCAGTTTGGATGAGCCAATTCATTAAGCATTGTCTTGGAAATCATGACTCTGATCTTAACTTAAGAAAACCTTAACCATAGAGCTGATCCTTCAGAAAATGCTCATATTCATTTTCTCGAGCTTCTTCTTTTTTCCATGACAAACAATGCTGTCCTGCTGATATATTTATAAGATTGTAAAAACGATCATGGGGTACTTTTTTAATACAAATGAAAGCACCTCATTGTTTCATTTCAAATCCAATGTGCTGGTGTACAGACCCAACACAGCAAAACTGTGTCACTGTCCATATACTGATGGAGATATTCATATTGTAGTGCATGTAATGTAGTTACAAAGAAAGAAAAGTGTTGTTCTTAAAAGTTGTCGATTCAGGTATGTCCCCATAACTCATAAATATATCAGATGCAGTGTGCAGTAAGGTGAGCAGGAAAGCAGCTGGCAGACAGAAAGTAGCTCTGTAGTTCGATGTCCTTTTGAGTGTGCAAGGAGTAAATCAGAAGGACATCTCTCTATGCACCGGTGCCACTGAAACATTTCAAGATTACATCTCTAACAGCTAATTAAATAGATCTGGTCAAGAGGGAGAGCCTTTTTCAAACCGCCTGCTCCGATCGTGTTTGCCAAGCTTGCTTTCATTTGTTGACCATACCGCACCAGCAACTTCAGTGAGCCGGGGGTCTTTTAAGAGAGGGCCTTTTATTTCAGTGACTTCAAAATGTCTTCAGAATGAAAGAGGGCAGAGCCAGGAATGATTCAATTATCTGATTAGGTGATTTTATTTGAGTAGAGTAGTTTCTTGAGAAGAGCAAAGGTGGGCAAAGTAACTTAGAAAATGGGAGAGTTTCAGATAACCTTCCTTGCATAACAAAACATAAACTCACCCATTTGCAGCGTTCACCAAATCTCATGAAAATGAACATGACTATAGAGTCAGGATGTCAGCCCTGGGTTTCGTGTTTTTCTACTTCAGCTTGACAGTTTTATGAGTATGTTATTATCCAATATCTGATTAATTAGATAAATTAATTTGATGGATTAAATGTATTAGGATGCGAATTAATTGGAATGGCTCAAACAGACACTAATCAATTAGAATGCACTGCAAATGAGCAATAGAGGACTAGATTTTCTTAGAGCGGGATTAAGAGGACTCAGGTGGCAATACCGGAGACTCTCTTCCTTTCATACCTTTCCTGCGACCTTTGGACCAATGACGAAAATAAATCCCAAAAGAGACGAAGGACACAGACATAAAGTGGGGTGGGTAGAACAGAAAGACAGTCGTGAGACAGATGGATAACCAGACATGAACAGATACTGAAAAAGGAGGCCTAACTTTGTCGGTGTAGGGAGATATGGAACAACATTAACATTTCTTTGCTAAGGGTAGAGGTAAATACATTTTAATCATCATAAGCCTAGTGACATAAAACAAATAAAGTAGAGCTTTGAATAAAATAAATGATTAAACATGAGAAAAGGGCAGCATAGCATGTGTTTGGGCCATCTAACTCTAGCTTGTTACGACTTGGGTTTTGTTTTTGTAGTTTCAGCCATCATTTCTTAACCCACTAGAGCATGAAATTATGTGAGAATCCATTTTGCCTATGCATTTGTGGCCGAACTACAATGGTACCGGACCAATCAGTGTCCTTTGAGAAAGTATTGTCAGCTACATGGGTGGGCTCTACACGTGACGCAACAATGGCAGATCCCATAGAGGTTAGCGTAGATGCAGCTAGCATCCAGTATATACTTATATACCAGTATTTCTTAATTACCAAGAAAAAACTACTTCCCATATGGTTATGTGTAACAAACCACCTGGTGTAGTCAGGTTAATCATTTCTATTAGTTATAATAACACTGAAGTCACCAAATGCTGCTATATTGGAACATGGGGACTACTAAGTTTGATGGGGCAGGAAACACAAAGCAATCAGACTGTAACCTAATGACTACACAATGGATGATTCCATACATCATGATTTACATTGTCTGATTATACAATATCAGCGTTCTTGGTTCTCAACAGGATTGGGTTGTGAAGAAGCCAACTGAACATCCAGATGAAAGTGTTCGTCTATAATTTCATAGCACTTTGTTTCAAAGTAAATACAAGTACTTAGATTTTGGTACTTGCTGATACCGAGTACCGATATGAGTTCTTAACAATACCATTACAGTTCTGACAATGAATTTGAAAATATGTTTTATTTTCATCAGAGGTTCCTCACATTCTGACTGTAACAATTTAAATGTTGTTAATGTTGTAAACGTTTCTTAAAATATCTCCAAACTGCTGACATTGCTTCTCCTCTGCCTGCTCAACTAACAAGTCTAAAGTGGTATCTGGTGCACTATCAGATTAGTTTTATGACAACAAATACATGAGCACAGTATCGCTACTGATACTGGTATTGGTGCATCCCTACTTATAATCCTTCATGACACAGCAAAATAGTGTGCACACACAACTACAGTGAGTACAGTGGGTCAAAGTTGAATCACAAAGTGCTTACAATGGACAGTTCTGGATATTAATTGTTGTTAATTAATTTGAGTATTAAGTGTTCACCTTTGTTGCTCGTGTTTACTGCGACCACATGACTTTTTTTAAGCGATGTTGCTGCATTCCCAGATCTCAGCAATTAACTTGGTTTTTACAATGCTGATGGCCAACAACAAAAATAAAAACCCAGGTAGTAATAAATTAGATTTATCATTTAAGGGGATGGTTCAGGTTTTTTGAAGTGGGGTTGTATGAGGTACCATAGTCAGTGTATTACCCACAGTAGATGGCAGTCAGCATGACCCCAGCTTAGAAAAGCAGACAGGAGTACCAGAGCAGAAGCTAAGCAATGTACATAAAAAAAAACAATATCGGTTTAAGTGCACGCTATATATATTTAGAATATTACCACTGCTTTACCTTGCCGTCACATACCCCTTTTTGGACAGGACACTGAAAATGTTATATCCATTTATGCCCTATCCAAAGCCGACAGACAAAATCAGATATAAAAGCTCCAGTTTCCTATATGAAGGGGCTGTCAAGGTGTACAGCAGTACATTGCTTAGCTTCTGTGCTGGTACTCCTGTCTGCTTCTCCAAACTGGTGGCGTGCTGACATCCGTCTACATATAACCCGACTTCAAAAAACCCAACTATCACTTTTCAACTACAATATAACATCCCATGTGTTTTTTCATGCGGGATGACAAGTAAAACTGTTCTTATTAAGAAAAGTTAATGATGTTTAATTCTTGTACTGCAAACTAAAGCTACTAAAGATCCTCTGAAAGAAGACAGAGTGCAAAACAAGGTGGAGAAAACAGGAGAAGCTATGTACAGAAGAAATACTGTGTCATGTGTATTTTCTACTTTCAAGATTCATGGATCCAAGGTCCAGTGACTTTCTTTGGTTGGGTCTTTGAAGTGTTTGTCCAGTCTTTTGTCCTCCAAATGTTCTCCAGTTGTTGCCTAAATCGGTTCCTTAAGGGTGTCAAATTGTGCCAAACATAGATCTGTCCTGCTCCCCCTGCCCTCACTACAACCCAAATTGATTTCCCTCGCCATCTCTCGCCCTGTGCACTGGGTGGCGGATGCTTTTTAAATGTCAGCCGGCGGAGGAAAAACAACGCAATTAACCTCTAGAAGGGTGAAAAACATGTTAGTGGAACAAAAAAAGGTGCAAGACCTTCCATACTGTTCATCTGGGCTGTTTTCTAGGATCACTACATCTGCTTGTACTGCTGGAGCAGCTGATCCGTGAAGAGCCTGATTTGGTTATGGGAACGGATGCGTCTTTGCTCTTTTACTTACACTTACTGACAATGCACATTACTACATTAAGATCATGTTTATGTTATGTTAATGTTGCTCGATTAAAAAGCAGCTTTGAGCCATAAAATAAAAGAATAAATGAAACTCTGGCAGGGGGCCATGGTCTCTGTTATCTCAAGTTTCACTGCTAGTGTGCCCTGTATTGTATGGACAATTTGACACCCATAAAAGAACCAAAGCTGGCTCTCTGCTAATCATATTTCATCATTATGGTGCCAGCTACTTGTGTTTAAGTCTCCTGTCTATAACATTTTTAAATCATTTAAAACCAGTGCAGGCCAGTTGCACTGCTGCTGCTGACATCATGAATGAAAACTGTGCACTCTTTGCAGACTGACCAAAGAGCGTTAATCAGGCATACTGTCCTGTTTGGTCTCCCCAAATAAGCTTCCCCAGCTCAGGAGGAACATGTGTTCCCCCCGACATGCACAGGCCAAGAGAGATGCCGTGCGGAATCCAAAGTACCTGTTCTCGTTTTCGTTCCTGTCAGGGACAGATGACCCATTTCAGCGTGGGGAAAAGAGAGGGACGAGATGTGAGGAAACAGGGGAGACAGCAAGAGAGAGTGCCGGGAAAGAAAGAGGAAGGAGGGAGGACAAGCTCCACATGATACATGCCAGTAAATCCTTGCATGAACACAAACACACGAACACACCGACAGAGCTGAGAGGACTTGAGGGATTAGCAGCAGGAATGGAGTCTGGGTCAGAATCAGAGCAAAGCAGTGACCTTGACATTGAGAGAGGGGTTGGGTGTTAATGTTAAACTCAGTATTGATTAAAAAACAAAACAGGATATTACAGACTGAAGATGGATTAATCACACTGTATTAGGCACAATAGCACAGCACCACTCAGGTGATAATAAATGCTGATCGCAACTGTTTTGAAATTACCCTCCAGACTCATATAGAGCCATTTTTTTTATTTTAATGCCAGCAGGCACACTGCTGTGTCAATCAAATACTGTAATTTCACACTTTTAGCAAAGGCATTATTTTTACCAAAGCAGAGCTACATAATGAGATAGGATAACGAGATACAGTATACATGTACTTCCCTTGTGCTTTGGATATGTATAACATGGATAGTCTGAATACTATAAAAGACAGGATCCTCACTGATATGTTAGTATTTATACTTTTGTCTTTTCATCAATAGGATCCAAGGTCAATAATAAGGATTCAGAGGCATCTTCTCATTCTACAGTCTAAATTAAAGCTAACAGTTTAGTGCCACTCACACACAGCTGAGTTAGAACGTGTACTTAGATTTAGAAAGCGGGTTAAATTCAACATGTGTTTAGTCAAAGTGGACAGAAAATGACGACATTCATTCTTCATAAAGAAGAATCAAGCCACAGTGATCAGTGGGACCTGGAAGGAGCAAAGGACACGTCACTTACCAACACACACCAACACATTCTGCAGTATATACAGTACATCCTCACATGATACGGCCTATCTTATAAAGATCCCCTGCACAACTCAGTACGCGCCTATTTCATATGAGGTGAGGTGTCCAAATTTACAAAGATGGTGTTTGAATGGCAGTTTGAATATTGGATAGTGGGATGGCATTGTGCCTCAGTTGCTTGAGCTAGAAAACGTCATCTGCGCCCACACTAATACAGATACATATGAAAAAACAGTGCTGTCGTCCACACCTGCATTTTTACAAAAGCTTGCCATCCACATAAATGGCAGAAGAATAGGAAACAAACTGTTCATTTTCTTTGAGTTGGCAAACAACAAAACTGCATTGTAATGGTATAAATGTCTGTTAACATTGGATAGATAGACTTTTCTGACGGATACAACTGATCGTAACAGGTTATATCTCTCTTCTGTTGCCTTCGACTTCCTCTGGGATCCATTTGTTTTCCTTACACTTCATTTAAGCCAAACACACAATGCAGTTATCACTGACATATCTTTTTAATGGTTGTCAGAATACTCTACTGGCTAACTAAGGCTAACATCAATTGACCCTTCCTAAGTCCCGCCATTTTTGGAACCTTGGCCAAATTCCTCCTTTCCTGTACTTAGATATGCTATGTGCTCGGCTAATCTATGTCGATGTGACTATGAGGAAAAGAGGAAGTTCACAGAAGCTTGCTCATCTGTTACTGGAGCACAGAGCAAAAAGGGGTGGGGCTTAGGAAGGGTCAGTTCCTGGGCAGCTGCATTAAGACCTTATTGTTTAGTAATCACACAGCATTAACTAAAAGATGTGTCAGATGAGTCAACATATTCAAATATATAGAGCCTTATTGAAAATCCTCATTCTGGAGTAGAACATGGAAGCTTGGGGAGAATTTTTTTTTTTAAATGTATCTGCATTAGTGTTGGAAGAAGCCCTAATCACCAGGATTCATTGCCATTTGTAAGCACACCTGTAGGCCTAATCGATCAAGGCTGGCACCTCTGTGCCCTCAAACTCCTTCATAATTGAAGCGTTGTCTTGACTGATTTTTCTAGGATGAAAACCCTTGCTTGCATGACTTGCTGGTGACAGCGCTGCATCTGGCACCAATAATACAGGGGTTTCTAAACAGACAAGTCTTTGAGCAAAGTCTCTGCCACCATTCAAAGGATCTCATATCCACATACAACAACTAGAGAGCTGTAAATGAATACCGTCCCAATTGGAACATTCAAGAAAAGTTTTAATTTGTCAACTAGAGTTTTCCTGCAGTGTAAAAAAAAAATAGTAGGTCGTTGTGATTTTGTTGTTTTAGGGATATAATGTTTAATGGACTATATACATAATATACATTTGCTTGAATGTTAAAGTAATCATTTAATTTCAATAAAATACACAAGATAAGACATGGCAATACTACTTAGCAGTTATACAATCTAATCCATTTATCACAAATTTCTTCGAACACTAAAAATGTGTCTTTCATGTAAACTTTGAGAGGCCAGTGCTGACACAGTTAGCCACTGGGTTAGGCACATGTCAGAGCTGTCTGTTTAATTATACTTACTGGTAATCAAAGGATCCATCCTGGTCTTTCTGATCTACTGGGTCCAACGGGAGATCTTTTTTGTCACGGACTGAGGAGAGAAGAACATATGTAACATTTTCAGCATTTTTCTGAGAGCTCAGCTGATTTCATGGTTAGATTTGAAAAGCATCCACATGTTGAGGGATTCCAGGCATTAAAATCCTTCTGTTAGTCCTCATCTGGTAATTTAGTTCCATATATTTGTCCTCTTCAGCCTTCATTTATTAAACTGTTAACGAACACTGTGTCCCAAATCCATAATTGCTATATATTAGGGGTGTAACGGTATTTGTATTTGTCCCGAACCGTCACGGTACGGGCTTCACGGTTCGGTGCAAGCAGTCATACAACGAATACTGAGTGAGTTTTAAAAAAAGTTGAGTCCTCACTTTAATCCAGGTGGCGATAATGAGCCTAAAAGCTGCCAGAAACAGTCATTAAGGAAGAAGAAGAAGAAGAAGAAGTAGTTACAAAAGAGGACGAAGAAGAAAAGTGATGGAAAGTGTGGAGTTGGAGGAGCCGCCAGCTTCACTTAAATCAGCTGTTCGGGAGCACTTTGGCTTCCCAGTACAATATAATGGTGATGGCACGCAAGTGGTGGACCGGACAAAGACGTTCTGCCAGCGATGTTTCACGGAGGTGCGGTATGTTGCTGGCAAACATACCGGCAAACCTCTGTGGTGCAACAACTTATCCCCGCTGCTTTTAAGCCACCTCTTAACATTAACACTGACAGGGCCAGTGTTACCTGACTACCTCAGTCTATCTTTTCCTCTGTATCAACAGAATGAGAACCCTCCTAATACATTTCTTTTATGTTTTATTCTATTTATTTTTTACTTTTATAACAGGAGATGGTTTTTTTTATTTTGCAGTCAATTGGTGTCTGTTCAAAATAAATGAAAAAAGCTAGTCTTTTATATGTGATTTATTTATTTATTTTTTCCGTTGTACCGAACCCGTACCGAACCGTGACCCACATACCGAGGTACATACCGAACCGTGACTTGTGTACCGTTACACCCCTACTATATATATATATATATATATCATATAAGATGACAAATGTGGACAATGCACTACAGTATTGTAGTGTAAAATACTTTACAGGACATGATACAAGATGCTTCTTGAAGGACATCAATTAAATTAGAGTAGGAACCAATCCAGTATCATTCTTGGGTGCCAATACTGACCTAATTCACATATTTGATATTGGACTGACGTTACCTATCCACGTACAGATCCAGATTCCATAGTCTGATGGTTTTATGAATCATAATATGCAAATTTAATGTCTACTGTTGTATGCATTTGGAACACAGCACACATTTTTAAGAGACTTAGAAGCATGTTTTAGTAGCAGTTATATAACATTGGGTTGGGTTTGTTATGTCAGTGATTTGGCCAGGACTAAAAACACACTCCCAGTGTATGTGTGTAAACTCCTCTCATTAGTGTTTTTCTGTCTGTCACTCTTTCTGTTATAATCCTTATTTGAGTGCATCACTTGCTGTTAGTTTTTCATTTTTGTTGAGTTACAGTTGGCACCCACCTAGATATTTTGCCAAACCAGTCACGCAACCACCACCTAGACATTATAGAAACTGCAAAACATTAACACGACTCAATTTCAAACTAAATGATCACATACTGCTCAGCATCACTGTTGCATGTTTGAATTGTCAGAAAATACAGTTGTAATTGTATTTGTAAGTTATTATACTGTGATCTGTCAAGCATCCTATTTGTCATGTAGTGTGAGGGCACTTGTGAATAGCAGCCAGTTGCTGTTTTTCTTTAGCACTTTGATGACCTGCAGTTTTTATTTTCCTGTGCCAGTTGATTCAAAACTGAAGCTGACATTTAAAACATTGGTCTTGTTTTCCTTCTGAGCAGCCACGCAGGTTCCTGCACTTCCACAGTTAAAAATAGAAGTACTCACATTAAAATATTCCTCACTAATACAGCTAGCATATTAAAGTTTTGCTAACCAAAAAAACTGCAACAGTAACAGCTTCTTAGCACCGGTTACAGTGGCATATAAAGGACAAAAACAACATATGGAGAAACATTTGTACAATATATCTAGATATATATATATATATCACATCTATTTCTACAAGTTATACTTCAAAATACCATAACTAGCATTTTACACTTAAAGATAAAAAGCTACAACACATGAGCTTATAAGGTTTTAACAGGTTACTTTTTTTTTCATTATAAATGTAATTTAAGACCTATTTCACATCCATACTGGCAGAATAAAGTACAGGAAGGAAAATCAGTATTGGTTCCATGTGGGTTTTGTTTTGTAGCTGTTACAGCATGATCAATAGACATTTTTCCTAAAAACTAATTTAAAAGTGAGACTGAAAAATACAACTTTATACAATTTATATTAAAGCAGCAGCAGGTTACTTGAATAAAAAATAACTTTTGTCATTTTTGCTGAAACTTTCACTATATCCTGACAGTAGAACATGAGAACGATAATAATTTGAAAGAATCAACCGGGCCTGAACGAAAAACAACCAATCAAAACCAAGAAATAGATAACTGCTTTGGGTTGGATGCTTGAAGATAGTTAAGTCTCATTCCCAGGCTCCAAAAGGGTCTCAATAATCAACTATCTTTCTTGGCTCTGATTGGTTGTTTTTGTTCAGGCCTGTTGGATTCTTGCAAATGCCATTAGGAGCACTAAGAGAAGGCAGATAACCTGTTTAAGACTTTTTAAATAGACACTGTGGTTTAGGAGAAGACAGCTAAGAATCCCAGACGGTGACTGAATCCCTCCTAATTTACTACCTTGTTCTAAAACACTGATGGTTCAAATGTTGGACATCTCAATTTAGTAATCACTTCAGAGCAAACTACAGATTTTGGTAAGAAACATCCAATCAGACAACTCTGCTCTGCTAATAGCAGACAGAAGTTAAAGCTTGAGTTTTGCAAAACTTTTTTGGTTAACTTCAATAAACTGAATCTATTTACTCTGGGTTAGAGCTTTCTTTTTACAGTTCAGTGAATACAGCGTATTCCTGTTTAGGGGACATTTTATACAATTTTCTGTCTGTATTATGTCTTTCTTGAAATCATTTTTAACAATTATTTATACTTAATAGGCTTCTTTTTTACGCTTGGCCATTGTTCTATTAAAATTTTTTTTACTTTTCTTCACAGAAGTAAAAAAGTAAAGTTAAATACTGAGATATAGGTCTACTTTACTTTACTGCATATTTTTTTAGTTTTCATACACGTCTTAAAATCAAGAAAGTCACTTTGGGAACCACTGCTATAATGGTTATCAAATACAGCGTCAGGACTTACCTGGGTACTTGCCCCCGCGACTCCTCTTGATGAAGCAGACGATGAGGAGGATCAGTATGATGAGGGCGATGGCACACATCAAGCCAATGAACCAGCCTTGAGTGGCTATGTCTACCTGGTCTATATAGGCTGGAGACACACACAGACAAAGGGTGGGACAGGAGAAGAGAGAGAAGAGTGGAAACAGTGAGTGTTTTTCTGGACCATGGTGAGTCACAGCTAACGCATCAGACAATCTGTTCTCATCCCAGAGCGCTCTGCAGAAGTCAACAACTCAGAACCAACATATCATTGTATGCCTCCGAGCCCACATCAAGGATGATTTTGTAAAAATGATTCCATCCATAACAATAAGGTGTTTGTCCTCTTTTCCATAACACAATGTGTGAATTTTAATCAGAAAAGCCTGGGAGATGGAGGTGTGTGGTGTGAAAGTAATTGTCACTTCCAATATACCCAGAAAGATTTCCACACAATCTGAAAGAACACAAATTCTGACAGCTGCCAGAAATTTTAACTCTGAGATTTGTATAAATATTAGCACTGAATTTGAACAAATGATGACAGCAACATTTAGAATATTCCATAAAAAGATAAAAGATTCTAATCAAAACTGGAGGCCCAATTATAAGAGGTCTTACATGCCAGATCAGACAAAGAAAGCTAATCTCTTCATTAGAAAAATACCACTTTCCAAGGAGAACAGTCTTGTCAATGTGTGATAGGACCCAGATAGAAAACTCCCACTGTCCTAACAGAGTGCTACAGGGATGATGTATTTTAGGCATCATCCTCGTTCCGTTGACAAAAAGCCAATGAGATTGTTCTATTGGATTTTGGATTATCTCAGAAAATTAGCTTTGTGAGCTCTGGCTGTGGTTTGTGATACTTACACCTTTAATCCAGCAGGATAATCTACACAAACACCACATTTAGCCTATGATTTTTAAAGCGTAAATGGGATCGCCAGAAGTAAGTTTTCATCGTAATGATGAATGTAACCGACAACCTCAGTAGTCTCATTAAGCCACTTGTTAGCAACTGCCTTTTTTAAGTAAAAGCTTGAAAATTCATAGGTGGGGTACTTAAGGACGTATTTTATGTCAATGGAAAAACATTAAAATCTGTGTTATTTCAGACATTTAACCAAAAATCTATTAATAAAACCCACTTACCTCAAGGAGAGGGAACTAGAGGTATAAAAATTAAAAACTCATTTCCGGGTTTTATGACTCATTCCTGCAGCACTCTATAGCCAGCTAGCTAAAACTGATTGACAATTCATACCCATTATAACTTGGATTTTTTAAACGTGCAGTCTAACAGTCATCCTACCCGTGTGGAATAAACATTTTTGAATTTAGGAGGCTAATAGTACAGTTAATGATACATATAATTAACTTAGTCTTTTGGTGACTTATTTAAGAGTTTTGAGCATTCAGTGCCACCACTAAATCACTTAATCTCAAAATGTTTGTCAGATTTTAAGTTAAGGTTTCAACAGAAATCATGAATCTTGGTGTTAGAGTCATTTCACTTTCACAGTTCCTTGAACCAGTAAGCTAATGGAGCTAACTCTTTAACCTCCAGAAGCTCAAACCATTCTGTCCACACTCACTGTCTAATGTTGTTCTATATTGTTATAGTTGTTATAGTTATTTTATGAGGTCATGTTAGAATTATACTTCCATATGTTGTACCCTTCCATGTGCATTTTGGACAGAAAGACCTAGGTTATCATGATAATTTGAATATATTTAAATAAATCTGTTATACAGTTATAGTATCAAAATCATAAAAGTTTTTGGTGGCACTACAGTTTATGTAGGTTATTAATATGGTTATGGTTATGTTATATACATGTCCATACAAACTAATCAAAATGTAAATTTTCGTGTCATGTGAACAATCTATGAGCATTAACTTGTGAACATGTGAAGAGAACATATGAGTTCTGAATATAAAAAGGTCCATCTCACCAAAATGTAACTTTTACTTCCACTCATAAATTAGATACTGCTCATAAAGACAACCAAGTTCAAGTCTGATCGCATCCGTATATAGAGGGTTGAAAAGTCTCAGTGACTCACTTTGGTTTACCTTTGGAAGAACATGCATGGTATTAAAAAGAAACCATAATAACTCACCCAGCGTTGACTGAGTTACCGTAGACACTACTACTGACAGACTTGCAACCAGAGTAGCCCACCTGGCTGGAAACCCGGTTCCACCTGGCCAGGTGGGGCCTCACCTGCTTTGGTCTTAAAGGTGACAGATTTGCTGCTGACGCTGTTGAGCTCATGGGAGTAAACCCTCAGATGGTACTTGGCGCCTGCGATCAGATCCGCCACTGTAATGGGGGGCTGTTGTTTCACCGGTACAACTTTCACCGTCTTGTCGCCTTGGAGACACAAGAAAGGGGCCAATCACACTCCGGGGGGTGTGACCTTCATTCCACACTAACGGCTGTGCTTGCTAGCAAAAGTTACAATTTCTCTGAGTGATGGCAGGGTTACTGAAGTGAATTGAGACTGATAACAATGCAGTGCCCACCCCCATCATAAGGACCTTATTACAGTATAAAAGCATACATATGATGTACTTTAATACTTCTAGCTATTACACCTAATGTATGAGCTGCAACTCTTTGAAGCTCACATTCTGGTTCATTTTCCTCTTTTGGCTCTGAAACCAAATTTTTTCTCAAGGGCATAATCCTCCAGAGAAAACTCATCTAAAATGGGGAGTGGAGGAGAAGAGGGGCACAAGGAGCAGGTGTTCCTTCAGGCAAAATCACAATTAAACTGCTCCATGAATTGTTCAGGTAGAATTGAAAGTGATAATTACACAACTTTCTTTGTTCTCGGGTAACATCAGAGTTCCACGGTGGCAAGGCATTGTTTGTCTCAATTATTAACAGGCCCAGACTTATCTCCACAAGGTCAAACACAAGAGAAAAGCGACAACAACCTGCATCTTTCCCGGTGGAAAGACGGGCTGGTCATGTGGTCATGACATGGCCAGGGCAGCACGAGGTGGTGGCGTCATGCACCATGCTATCAACCATTTCATATGGTTGATGTCATCCAACAGAACTCACAGCCATGCTATTAATACCAGTCCTTGAACCAGCCAAACAAAACATATAATGCAGACACAAGAGAAGACATGCCAGTCCTTTTTTACATAATCAATGAAGTGCTATAAGAAAGGCTGATGTTTAGTATTACAAATGCAAAACCATCTGTATTATTTTAAGGTTACTGAGACTGAAAATTAGATATTTTTTCAGACTTTCACTTGATCAATCCCAAATGTTGCTATATTGATGCTGCAGAGATATTGCCACAGTGTATATCACTTACGATCTGCAATTGGTGGGAAAAGGTGAATGTGGCTTCTTTTCTCTCCTGGTACTGTGACACATTTTAAACCCCATTTTAACATTTCCATAATTACTGATGATTACTCTGGGGTTTCCGGATGGTTCAAGAAAAGCTTCCCATGAGCAAATATTTTGATATAAGGTAGGATGTAACTCATTTGACAGTCCTGCTAATATGTTCCACTGTTATCATGTTTCAAGAAACTGCCTGTTGCATCACCATTTCCTGATAAGCAAATTGATTTTCTGTTTATGAAACAGAAGAACAGGGTTCATTTTTAAATAAAAGCCTGCATTTAAAGGCAGGGTAAAAACAGAAATTTACCTGTACTCCACATAATACATTCAGCATAATGTACATTTCCACAGCACTAATCCCAAGAGTGCAACTCCATTATCGGCTGCTCTTAGGTTCTTTTTTAAGCACAACTACTTTGCCAATGGTGTTGAGCTACGTTCAGTAAAATTCTCATCTGTTTACAGATTTTCAAAATGAAAAGCACACCAGGAAATGTTTAAAATGTTTAATTTATAAAATTAAAAGGCCTGTCTGCTGTACTTCTCCTGATTCAAATAACAGAACAGCTCTCTGTAAATAAATGCTGTGGTAAAATAAATGCTGTGGCCACTATGTGATCATTTACAGGACTGTACAAAATTTCCTGGATTATATTATAAGTCTACTGTATCTTTTGAAATGCAAATTGTGGCTGCATAAATCTGAATATTATGCTAATCCATCTTTAAAGTATGTATTTGACAGTACTGAACTACAAAGTGGTCCTGCCATTTTTACGTCATTATCACGTGAAAAGTCAAACCACTATGGTTACACTTTAATTTAAGCAGCCACTCCTCTCGCTTTTACTGCAAGTTATCTGAAGACATTGACAGTTTTAAAAAGAATTTTATGATAACAAGTTGGAATAGAAATATGTAGCTGCATTTTCATGTAAAAAATTATAGCACTTGTGCCCTCACCCTTATTCCCTTGTTATTCCCTTTTGCAAGATTTTTCAGTTCCTTTTCCATGACAAGTATTCCCAGTTTTACTCTCTTATGCCACCAAAGAGTCATCCTCCACCTAAACCCTCCTCTGACAGACATGCAGAGACTCCTGAGTCACGGTCAGAGAGACAGGGGGAGGATGACAGCAGGATTATAGGAGATGGAGGGAGTGTCAGGGACTCCCTGCCACTCTTCCTTAAAGTCAAAGCTTTCAGATTTGACCTTGGAGGACAGGGGATGGGTGGGAGGGGTGGAGACCATTAGATCAGTCTCATCATCCCCCTCTCCTCCCCTCCCTCTGTCCATTTCTCTTTCTATTCACATTCAGACATCATTAAGAATTAAAGCCATTGCCAAAGTACATGAAAAATACATCCTCCCTTCTTTCCGTCCTTGATCAAAGATCACAGACTGTTGAATTGGTAGAAAGCAATATGAGAGTCTAAAAGCACAACACTATCCAATCTCAACCAGCTCTGGGATTCCAGAAAAGCAGGGATGATGTGTTTTTATAAAGCAAGCTTCAAGAGTGCTTCACACCCAAATCAAAAGCAAAAACAAGTGATTATAGAACCGTGGATTGCCAGAAAAGTGACACATTCAAACAGCAATTAAGAGAGAACAAGATGAACAGCCCTTCAGAGCACTGGTCCAACAAGAGCCATTCAAAGCCAGGCAGTGTGTTGAAAAGAAAACATCGTGATGGTGCACTGCACAGGAAGTCACATGATGATGATTAACATTTTCCAACATATAAAGACCAAAGAGAGATAGAAAGAGTGCAAGAGAGAAAGACAGACGGACAGACTGATATGTTGTACCTTGTGCTTTCCTAACATGGTGCAAATTGAGATGTCAGCAGTAAGGTGCAAATATCACATCCTTAAATAAAAAGGTTGAACAGAGCAGCAGCCACTGCTGTAGTTATTGGTTATCTCTGTTTTATTTAAAAACTTAACACCAAAAGGATCTTTTCTTTTCACTAATGTCCTCACGTTCCCTTTCTTTCATGCCCTTTATACTCTTCACACATCAGCTTGTTCTCTCTATTACTTGTTTGTCTTGTCAGCGAATGGTTGCCTAATAGAGCTGTCCATTAAGGTTGCTTTGACAAGGACACATTTCAACAAAACCCTTGAGCAAGAAATTCTCGGGTCCCAAAAACCTGACATTGAGGTGTAACGGAAATAGTTTACATGAAAATAAGGCAATAATGATTTAATGAGAAGACCACTGAGTCATACTTTATGGGGGTAATTGTATTCAAAAGTGGAATGAATTTCGGTCTATTGGGGATTTCTGTAAATAAAGATGAATTTAAGAGACATCAAGGCATTTCTCTAATCCCCAGCACTTAACACCTTAGGTAAGCTAAGGCTCATGTGAAAAGGATTAAACAAATCTAGTCTTTGTCAAATTTTGGATTTTGTTTAAGTAGCTAAATGTGGAATTATACAATATCAGCTCTTTTAAAGTTGCATTAAAATGTTTACATCTTTACATTCAAGCTGTGTTTGTTTGCCCCTTTGGGGACAAAACTCCACTATAAGCTAAGTTAAGCTAAGACAAGTTAAGCTATAAACTGTGGGTTAATCACTAAAAGCTATACATAGTCATTTGACCCATTGTTCATATGAAAGATACTAGGTACAGCTTTAAAATGACAGCTGGTCAAGTCTTAAACCTCAGATTAAATTGAAGGGTCAGCTATATTCTTATATAGTGTCGCAATCATTTCATTACCGTTAGATATATTTTGATACATCTGTTTTCCAAGCTCTCTTTGTACTTATTATCATCTTGTAACGCCACCGCTCTGGTTGTTTTGCTCTAATAATTAAGTTCAGATTTAGCTTGAGGTTTCCATAGCTCAAGTTGGGCTTGGGCTGGTTTCTTACTGTCCAGTGTGAACTCTAGCACAAACTCGCTGCTGCCGGCCGGGAAGTTGTGTCTCCAGCTGACGTTAGCGTAGTTACTGTTAGGCTCCACCGTCAGATTCCAGATCTCCCGCCCAGGGACCACTACATAAGGGGGGGAGGGGGTAAAGGGTTAAAGGTCAGGGGCAAGGGGGAGAGGGCACAGTTACAACAACCACACACAGGGCTTCATTTAGACCTATGCATGGTGCTAGCACTAAGGAAGTCGAACGATCGATTTGATGGGGAGTTATCCCAATAATGGTACGCTCAAAACCAGAAGTAAATTTAATGTGTTCATGGACAGGAAATTCACCCACAAGATAATTCCAGAGGATTTTTCAATTCAATGCTTACATATGGTTTAGAGTGGACTCCAATGCTAACTGAACCTAAAAAACCCTCAAAAAAGGCCAATATCACAATCCTTATCAGGTGAAATAGGCAACCCTCATCACTCTAAGGTGTTGAAGGGTACTCAGAACAAAATAAAAAAGTTTGGATTCTCACTTCCTGACCAGGAGGATAGTTGCTGGCTACATCCCAATATTCTGAAGTAATTCCCCACTTTTTGTACAGCAGGTATGGAGCAGCTTATCGGGATGCAGCCTTCATGTAGTTTCCTGTTTCGTCAGGTGGGAGAAGGCAATCGTCTTTTGATATCCATGAAGTGCCATTCATGGACAACTAAAAACACTAGAAGGATAGTAAAAACCACAATGGGACAGCAGCATGTACCCAACACATTCTGATCGGTATGCTTGGTGGTGACCAGTACAGGAGGTGTGGTGGTAGTGGTCGCCTCAGTTGTAGTGGTGGTAGAAGGAGCAGTAGTAGTAGTAGTAGTAGTAGAAGTCGTAGTTGTAGGAGTGGTAGAAGCTGAGGTACTAATGGTTGTAGGAGCGATGGTAGTAGGAGGAAGAGAAGCGAGAGGAGGAGGAGTAGGAGTGAAAGCTGAAGTCACGGATGCATCGGTAAGCTCGACTACAAGGGAAGGAGGTGGGAGAGAGCAAAGGGTTAAAGACAAGGCAGCAGGAACATCAGACAGGTGGACACACACTGACACACACAAGAGAAAGTCAATGAAGTCCTGAGCTGAAACACACATGGAATTCCCAACAAGCAGCAGTCATCACCGTGCACATCACACGCCTGAGTAAGTCAACATGAGTCAATAAATGCTGTAAAAGTGTTTCCTACTTAATCTCTGCTGGGATCCATACACACTTTGACTTAGATGCCACTGCCACCAAGAGGACCAATGTAGCTATTACAACATGACTGTCAGTGTGCAAATGAACACTGTATAAGAGCTAGGCTTGGAAAACCCTTATTTTTGTATTTTTGTTGCATTCAAAAAGGGCTCTGCACTGCTTTTACTACTAAATGTCAGCTCATTGAGGAAAGTGAGAGGGTTAGATAATGTTTTCTTTAGCTGGACTGAGCCACAGAAAAGACTACAAATGTATAAGAAATGCCTGTATACCTATATAAGTGTGATATACTCAATGGTTACAAACTAGGGCGATGGGGTCAAAGACACTAATGGCTGTTTTATGGGAAATGTAGGATCCAGCATTTTTCCCATACTACAAACTAAAGCCAAAATGTCTCAACTTTCACTGCTTCCATTTTAACATCATTTCAAATCTGTTTCTCATAAGAACCCCAACTTCATGAAAGTGAAATACAAAATTTTACGAGTGCCACTTTAAGTGTCGTTCTTGAGGACATTGTGTAATACATTTACTGATTCTTAACCATCACTTATGAGCTAAGCTTCTTATCTGTTTTACAGTATTTTTGCCATGCAGATAACGGCTTGCTAGAAATGTTGCACCAGCAGTTGAGTGCTAGGGCTGGGTAGTAGACCCTGATACTTTTTCAGCACAGACCAAAATGTGTCAGTAATATGGGAAAGAATCTGAAGCTGTCAAGTACTGAAGGTTAGCATTAAATTCTTTTTCAGGTTTTTAGTCTTTTTGAACAGTTTGACCTGATTTAACTTATAATTTTACAAATTTAGACAAAAGAAATCTGGTCTCAAGTCATTTTAGAATGTTAAAATAAGTTCTTGAATGGCTGCTTCTGTTTAGACAACAGTAAACAACAACCCTAACCTTGAGACACTATGTTGCCTCCTTGTGAGGTTTTCCACTGATTTCCACTTGAATTGTTGTTCACTCTTACTGTACCTTGAAGTTGAGGTCATCTCCAGCCAGTGAAGGGTCCCACTACTGATGCCCCCAGCCCAAACATTCCCCTCATTCAACAACCCCAAACCCCAGCCAGCATGCTTGTATCACCAAGTTGGATGTCAAGCATGCCCTCAAACCACAGTGCGAGGAGAAAAGAAAGTAGGACAGGATGGTGGGAACATCAGCGTGTTCATGAGCCATTAGCCCAGTGAGGGAGGCCTATTCAGCCCAAAGCTTCAAGCCACCTTACCTGAAACCCCCAGAACTGTATGTACAACTGACCAGGTGAACAGATGCAATGGATAAATGCGACATGACATTTGAGAAAGCTCAGAAGCAAGACGATCAAGCCAGTGAGTGAGAGCGCAAGCCAACTGCTGATTTGTCATCCCCAGCACACTCATCAAGTCACTCATTCATTTATCGAAAGGTTTCCCAGGTCTTGACCATCTGATGCAATAACGTGCATCTCCACCCATGCCACACACACTCCCAAAACAGCAGCGCCATCATGACATTGTACTGTGACAATGACTCATACACTTTAGAAACACGTCTTTTGTGGCAGGAAGAGGCAGTGATGCTGTGAGATTGCATTGTAAAGGTGCGCCATCAGGGATTGGTTCAGAAATCAGAGGTTTAAGGGTGGATCTACTGCAGCTGTGGGTCCTAATCATGAAGACCATCTAGTAGGAAATGATTCCAAAGATTTAGAATGTGTGAATATGTGAAGTGATGTATCTAATATGTTCAATTTTCATACAACTGGGCTATATTCCATTCACTTAATGTATAAATCATAGACGGAACAACTGTATTCAAAGCCAATGATGACCTGAGCATGTTGAGTGGGCTTCTTCAATCCCTGACAGCACACAGCAGCAGACGAACAGCAGCTTATACACACAGAGGAAAGATGGACAGATGAGAAAAGAAAGAAAAACAGCATAGACAGCAGTTCAGTCCATTAGCTGCTCTGTTTTTACTTAGTTTCAGACCTTTTGTCTGTTTCATATCATAAATATAATAATCTGGGACATTTAAAGATGAGTTTAAATAACTATTAGTTGCGGTCTTATGTGATTGATCCTCTTTAAGTCGTAATTTTTGACATTCAGCAATGTTATATTGATATATTGGCAACATTGTTGATCTTTTTCAAGCACAAAAGCTCATTCTTGACTTGGAAATAATTTGTCAAACCACTGCAAGGTCCAGCAGGTCTTCATCAGTAGATGGAGTTTGTCCTATTGTCATGGAAATTGATCTGTTGACATGCAAGCTAAGCAGTTGTCATCCCTGACATGATATAATAATATATAGCAAACCTAGATGATTTACACAGCAATATTTACTGAGGCTCAATCAAGGATAAAGATCAGCAGTACAAGTCGAGTTGCTGTGTAAATGCCAAACCAATTCTGAAGGTTAGCTCCTTACTGGGGATATTTAACACAGCAGACACATAAGATCTAGTGTCCCAAATATGGTCACAACTTACCCAGCTGAATGTGTGTGAAGATCCAATTAAGTATTTGCTCAAAACAAGGAACTATGCTTATCTATCCTAAATCATGCTGAGTGACACACATAGTCACATAAAACAAATTCTAAGAAGGAGACAGTCAGTCTGTAAGATTTAACCTTGGTTTCAGTAACAAAGTAGGACTGTGTAGGATGTTTGTGCCCATCTTTATCAGTCCAGCTGCCCTGTGCATTCACTTAGGCAGACAGTCAGAGACTGTCTTGGTCCTCACAGTGGCATGGGGACCACTATAGCATTTCTTTCTAATGGAAAGAAGAAACATTTATCCACAACATGTCAACAGACCCAGACCCATAATAACAGAGGATTATCAGTCCCCTGATAAAGATTGTGTGATATGGTTGAAAGCTCCAGAAAAAGCTAGTTGTGGACCTTGAGTTAGGATTGTTTTGTCATGATGGCCGTCGTGGAGTTTTAGAAGATCTGTCACTCAGTATACTGATAGCAGGATTTGGATCATGGATCGTGGCTTCAATCTTTTGTCAGTGTTAAAAATTAATAGAAATTGGTCACTGAAAAAAGCCGATTTATTTAGACTGCTATTATTGTATACCCCTTGAAAAACAGTACCGGTGACCTCAGTGGTAGGTGAAGCCATGCTCATAAGAAGTGGCAGTACTCAGTAAAAAATAAGGGTACTCATATGTGGACAAAAATGTGGTACTCAGTGCTGGTGAGTACTGGCCCACTTCAGGCACCATTTTATATAACAAATCATTGTTACCTTAAAGCCCTTCCTTTACCCCACAAGGGTGTTAACGCTTAACCCTATGGTGTTAAACTAGTGCAGCAGCTCCCCCTGCTGCCTGCCAGTGTGAGCTACAGGGACAACACTATGGAGGTGGACTGCAGTGCTGCTTAGTGTTAGAAAGAAGAGATAAAGAGACAGATATGGAGGATGTGGGTGGGGAAAGGCGACAGGCAGACACGCTGTGCTTCTCATTCCCCATTACCTAGACCTGTAGCGTCAGTAAAGTTTTCTGCCAACAAAAAGAGAAGGGGAGATGGGAGAAAGGGGAGAGGTGTAAGAAAGACAGAGGGACAACAAGAAGGACAGGGACAAGGCTGCAAGGTTGGTTCAACAGATTCTCACTTACAGGATTACTACAGGGTTCTACAGGTTACATTTAAGAGTATTTAAGACTTAATCCAATCAATTATAAGACCTGTCAAAATCATACATGCAGACACCCTGTACTTGAATAAAACTAATGGTATCTTACCATGCAGTATGGTTCAGCATGGCTAGGTACCCCTAGACGTTTTCTAAATTTGGGTAAACCAACCCTTTAAAACAACCTGTAAAGTGTTATTCTTGACAGTACAGCACATGATATACCTCAAAAGTCACTGGTAGACTCTGTGTGTGTGTGTGTGTGTGTGTGTGTGTGTGTGTGTGTGTGTGTGTGTGTGTGTGTGTGTGTGTGTGTGTGTGTGTGTGTGTGTGTGTGTGTGTGTGTCATTATGTAGCTGATAATGTCTTACATCAGAGAAAGAGAAGTCCTTTCTCCTTCTGATACCCTAACAAAGAGGCCTGTGTTTGCTAAGGGGCTCCGGCCTCTCTCACTTTCTATTTCTCTGTCTCTCACACATACAGGTTCCAGTGATTCACAAAAGCAGACTTTCACAATGTAGACACATTATCGAACCAACCTAGTTCCCATGCAGCCAAAAAAGGCTGGAAGTTGTGTAATTACAAAGACCTGTGTCCCTGACTCCTGTGACCCATCAGTCAGCTGAGTCTTCACTAAAGTAACGTCTCGATGCACTATACCTGACGCCCCCCACACACACACATTCGTATTTGAGTGTAATTTATTTCTCTAAAATAAGACAGACAGTCTAAGACAGAGACTTAAAGATGAATTTGGCTTATTGGCTTATAGCACTAGTTTTTTTAAATGTCCTATAGATTTCTTGATAATATGGTTATTGTGAATTCTTTTGGCCACAATGATCAAGTGGTGAAAATCTGATATCATGACTGTTCTAGTAAGTACCATCAATTCCTTGTTGGTTTGGGACTTTTCATGGGATTTGTTGAGAATAAAATACAATACATACATATTATTTCCTTATCCTTAAAGGGACATTGTGTAGGAATTTCTCCCATCTAGCGGTGAAATTGTATTTTGCATTCAAACGAATAGTGCTCTCTAGTGCCTCACGTTTTCAAATGCGTATTGCAACTACGGTAGCCGTTATGTACCAAGAAGCCTACCTGTCGAGGAGAAAGCAGGCAACTTCAGCGTCCCTTTGAAAGTCTTTCTACTTCATTAGCTCTTTCCACCTGGGAAAAGCTACCCCGATGTTCACCCTCGTTTTTTGAATTCGCCGGTCACGTTGCCTTTTTTGGCGATGAGGATTCCTTCTCCTGTGGCTCGGCATAAGTATGATCCTCCATTATTAACTAAAGTGCAGTGCAGACTTTCTAATGTGCCGGGGCAGAGACAAGCGCCTCTCACTGATCTCCTTCTCCGTTATAGCTGGTTTCAGTCACGTGACGCTGGCTCTTAACGAAAACGCGTTGTGGATTAGCTAGACAGGTAGGCTAGTGCTTTTTACACCAATGAGGACACATTTATGAATGAAGACATTGATTTTAGCTAAATAAAATACTTAAAACACTACACAATGTCCCTTTAAACTAAGTGACTAAAACATTCTGTGATAAAAAATTGTGAGCAATCATTTAAAGTTTGATTTGAGTTTCAGTGACTTTTTCTGGCTCCTTTGAACAAGAAATTATCAAAATAAAATTTTTACACAAATTTTAAACATCACTCTGGTAAACGGTTGCTTTGTAAACCTTTGTTTCCATGGAGAGATTTATGGGTTCAGATGCATTTTCACCCTCATCAAGAACAACAATTCTGGAAGCGCTGAATGTGAGATTATTTGGCAAACAAATGGTCAAATGTAGAAATACTCACCTTCATTAGCGAAGTGCGGGGACTCCTCAGCAAAGACCTCCCCTGCTCCCACCGTGGTGCGTGCTGACAGGAAGAACTTGTAGCGTGTAGATCGGTCCGGCAGGCGGAGGGAGAAATCTGTCACATTGGGATAGAACGTCTCCAACTGGGTATGTCCCACCCTGGAGCCATTGACTACACACACACACACACACACACACACACACACACACACACAGAAGAACGAATCAATCCTAAATCATCTTAAGGGGCAGTCTGGCACTGCAGCAGAGCACTGAGCTTCCTCCTCACAGTTATTCCTTTTGACTGACATCATTTTACTAAACTTCCAGTTATTACCCAAACTCCATTAGATGGAGTCTAAGATACATACATACAGTATTTCTACAGTGCAGTGGCTGATTACATGTACATTCACCTTCACAAACACTGATACAGCTCTTACTGGTGAGCAAATCATCAACAAGTAGAGGCACCAAAGAAATGCTTTCAGTCTGAAGGTTAAGGTGAGTTTGTATTTATGTGTGAATACTCAGGGTTCGACAAATCATATCAGATCACCTGTATGGTACTTTAACTGGTATGCAATCAGAATGCCGTTGGGCTCCAGAGGTTTGTCCCATTGGAGGTGGATGGTGTCGAAACTTCTGCGGTTTATCCTGAAGAACCTCGGAGCGTCTGGAACTAAACAAACAAGTAAAGAGAAAAAATGAAAAAAGGGTCTAGGATTTGGGAAAAAGGACAGAGGGGACAAGAATTGTGTTCTGGCCAAGCTGCTTCCATTATGGCCGAAAGCTGGGGACTTGTAAGGCAGTACCACTAATGACCACTAGATGTCCTGAGATAACTTCTGTTATGAATTGGCGCTATACAAATAAAATTTAATTGAATTGAATCCTGGCTCCAAAAAATCTCTAGCTCCATAGACATCCATTCCAATAGTGCCAAAATACCTTTTTTTCAAATTCAAAGTCTGTGCTGTTTCACTACAAGACATGATGGTCCAAAAGCAAATTTGACTTCTAAATTGTGTCCAGGTGACGATCGGCCAGTACTCACCAGTACTGAGTACTTCTAAATTTTGTCCAGATGTGTACTCTTACTTCTTATTAAGTAACCTTAACCTCTGGTGAGCATGGCTGTACCTACCACTGAGGTCAACAGTAGTTTTTCTAAGGGGTATACATTACACATGGTTAAATAATTGTAAATAATGAATAAATAACTACTTTGATGCTTTGATGCAAACCCCAAAATCCCCCTAGTAATCCCCTCTGTATTTCTAAAACCCTGCATACAGCAATGCTGGTGAGGTACTCCTACACAACTGTGTAAGGTCTTGTTAAAACGGATAAACGTGTTGGCTATATTGTCTGCCATGTTGATTACCCCTTGTTTATCCCACTTCACTCCAAGATGAGAGCAAGTGGTACAACCAGAAGCTGGAATCAAAATGTCCCTTTTAGTAACCTATGTGTGCTGTCATGGTTACTTTTTGATACAGTCTGTGGTTCTATGTCCCACATTACACTGATGAATATGCTACCTTTGGCTCAAAACACTTTTGTGAAACTACATAAGATGTTAGCCTCTGCGTCCTCACCTCCCTCCTTGGTGGTGAATTCCACTGTGTTGCTGGGTGGACCCTCAAAGCGGTTGTTGGCCACAACCATAAACATCTTGTATTTGGAGTAGGGCACCAGATCGCTGAGAATGCCAGATGGCCCGGCTACAGTGCTGTAGAAACCCTTAGTCTTTTTCTCCTTGCTGACGACCAAGCCTGGAACCAGACTGGACTCGCGCCAGTAGTACAGCTGGGAGGTAGAATGGGAAGTGAAGGGTTAATGGGTGCAAAGAACGGAGATTAAACAAAAAAAACAGTCAGAAACTGCAAATCAGTGTCTGTATTTAGTCCAGCGTTACAAAAACATAGCCAGTCTCACTCTGTACTCCTTGAACTCTCCCTGGACAGAGTTCAAGTCCACAGGTTTCCAGTGGATGTGTGCCGTGGTGTCATCGACCTTTGACATTTGCAGGTCAGTGGGAGCGTCGGTGGGCTCTGGACACACAAAAAGGGACACAGGATGTGTGAATAGCCATAAAGGTTCAGTCTGTTTGTGCTAGAATAATAAAAAATGAATGAAATTAAATAATTGGCTAATAACACCGAGTTCTGAGTTATTGTCAGCCTGAAAGACATCAAAACAAAATATCTATCAGGCTTATTCCAGAAATCAATGTTGGTATTGGCTTTCACAAAGTGATATCTACTGAGTATCTACTTACTGTCCTCTCCAGAGTATCCGGTGACCACATTGGATTCAGGTCCCGGTCCAAACTCATTCATGGCCTGGATTTTGATCTCATAAGGCACGTAGGTTTCTGTGTTTTGGACAACATATTTGGACTCCATCGTGGTCACGTTATTCCACTCCTCCTCCAATTCCTTCCGTCTCCACCACACATTGTAGCGCAGGTTTGGGCCATTTCTCTCCAGATCAAGCAGAGGCTGAAAAAAACAACAAATTAAAGACAGTTAATTAGGTTTGGAGTCTTTCATGTCATCAATAAAAGTCAAATCTGCTTAAATGTTTTCATTTTATCACATTCCAGTTAGCGAAATGTGTTAGTGCTAGCACTTGTTTGAACCCTTCCTGAAGTTTTGAATCAGCAAGGTTACTGGTTACTAGATACTGACTGGTTTTGTAACTATATTACATGTGTTTTTCCCAAAACGATTTACATTGGGGCAGAACTGTGTATGAATGTGGGACTGTGCCACCATCTCTTTCCACCATGGACATGAAAACCATATGGCAGAGTCAGCCTTTTAAATCTTGCCTAGAGATTGAAAAACTCTTTCTATTTTCGTGTAATGTCAACTTAGTGTACAAGCACAGTGTATGCGGTGAGGCCTTTTCTCAATTTATTTAGTGAAATCAATGTAATTAGGGTCCGAGCCAGCGACCGCTGGAGGTCCCTATTGTATTTGCTATGTTTCTTGTTATTATTTTTAGCTCCCTTTGACTGCATTTTTGCCCCCCTGAACATATATGAAAACTCAATTTTATTTGGCAAAGTTGTCAGGCCTGGTGAAAATGGGGATATTCTATGTGTCGCTTTTGGGTTGGCCACTAGGTGACGCTACTATCATAAAAAATGCGTTTAGGCTAATAACTTCTGCATCGTTTGTCGCACATTCAAAAACCTTATATCTACGCATTTGGTGAATAAAGCTGAATCTCCCCATATATGCCACGCCCACTTCCGCCTGAATTTTTTTCCAGCAGGGCGCGAAATGTCCATGAACTACTTTTTTCGTGTTCCTCCTATGTGCTTTGTCCAATTCGCACAAAAAATTTTACGTAGCATCTGGGGACCATCCTAATAAAAAATTAATTCAAAGAATTTTGATATTTCAAAAAATAAGCACGTTATAAAATTAGCACTTCCTGTAAATTTTTCGTCAAGAAAGGAAGCAGACCATTTCTCCACATTGGTATGTCCGATCGACACCAAACTTGGGTCCATAGTTCCCCATGTCTTCCTTAGGCATCATGCACAATCGCCTCTAGGTGGCGCTCTTTAAAATGAAGAAGTTTATATCTCCATAACGGCATGTGTGATTGAAATGAAACTTGGTACGATGCTTCCCCATGGCTCCCTGAGGCTCGTTAAAAAATGCGTCAACAATCCGCCACTAGGTGGCGCTCTGGTGGCAGGGTAAATCACTTTGCGGAGACCGTAATAGTTATGAATATGAAATTCACAGTGCACGTGTAGACTGGTGCCTGAAGCTCACATACCAAAAATCATGTTTATTGTGTTTGTAGTGTCCCCTAGAGGATAAAAAAAGCAGCCCCGGCACCACGTTTCACCGATATGTAAGAAACTCGGTAGGCAAGTGTAACATGCCGGGAACCCCACAGGAAGTCGGCCATTTTGATTTAGATTTTCACTTTCGGCGAACTTTTCGCGTTGTATTTGAACGAACTCCTCCTAGGGAATTTATCGGATATGCTTCAAAATTTGTGAGTACAGAAAAATGGTGCTGATTAAAAGTTGTGCTATTTGTGACTGTACGTTGAAGGGCGTGTCCGTGACGTGCCCTCAAAGTTGGCCAGGTTGAATCGAATGTCAAACTGTGATACCATTTCCGGCATTACTCAGACTTCCAGCTTTTTTTTGCGTTGTATTTGAACAAACTCCTCCTAGAGAATTTATCGTATCTGCTTCAAAATTGGTCAGTACAGTCAAAAAACATTGCTGATTAAAAGTTGCTATTTGTGCATGTACATTAAAGGGCGTGTCCATGGCGTGGCATCAAAGTCAACCATTTTGAATTCCGGGCTCATTTTCTGTGATTTATCGTGTTGTATTTGAACAAATTCCTCCTAGGGAATTTATCAGATCTACTATGGTGCTGATTAAAAGTTGTGCTATTTGAGACTGTACGTTGAACCGCGTGCCAGTGACAACTTGTTGATTTCAGCAGATTCGCCATAAAATAGTACTCATAACTTCAGTGTGCAATGTACAATCTCCAATAAACTTAATATATTCTGAAACAGTTTTGCCCTGAACACGTCCCCATAACTTCACCGTACGTGGTCCAATCTCAATGAAACTTCACGTGTTTGATAACAGTCTCGCCTTGAACACGTCTACATGACAACATTCAGACATAGTGATAGCGCCACCTACTAGCAACAGGAAGTAAGTGCTGCCTGGCGATTTTGAGCTGATTTACGTGAGATTTTCATGTTTTGGTCCGTACGTGTTACGACGGCACATGACGCGGCCGCAGCACGCCCTGAGTTGCGTGGAGTGCGAGATCCCGCTCAACACTGCTTGCAGCTTTAATCTTAGAATGTTTTCTCATGCTCTGAGGAAACAGAAAGGCGTGAAAGATAATTATACATATGTCCTCAGTACATAATTCCTACTACTTTCAAATAACTTTACATTTACATGATAACCTTGCGAGGCAACTGCACTCACGGAATGACGAAATCACTAGATCACGCAAGAATCCATCTTGCCAGACTTGCCTGTCCAATGTCCAAACACAGTGGTTCAAACCAATTAGCATCCTATGAAGAACTACTGGCAGCTACGACATGAGCTATGGGTGTGGTTTAACACTAACTTGGTGTGACCTCGTGTGAAAAGTGAAAAGTTTCCTTGGAAAAAACAATGGCAACTGCTAAAGAGGTTGGCATAGATCTCTAGTATCAAGTCTTACCTCCCAACTGATCTCCATATTGTCCTTCTTGGAGCCCCATCCTCGAAGACCTTTGGGAATGGCATCTGGGGCTTGTTTTGACATAACAAAATGCACTTACATCAGACAAGTTCAACTCCAACAAGCCCCAAGTCCGCAGGTACACATTTATGACCTGAAGTGGCTTCTAGAGTATGTACTCCTGCTTATTTTGTAAGACTGCTACAGTTGTATACCAAAATAAAACATTCACAACTGCACAGGTCAGAGCTATACATACAAACTGTTGTTTGTTCATCTTTAAAATTGTCTTTTGAGGAGCTGAAACCTGTGATGAACAGAACTGTATTTTTCATATAAAGTAGGTTGAAACTACATTTAGCCAACAACAGAAAACACACATATGATTCCAGGTGAGTGTGTTGTGCTCCTTACCAGCTCCGCTGGTCTTATATCTTAGCGAGGGGCGGCTGGGCTTACTCTGGCCCACTGAGTTGATGGCAATGACCCTGAACTGGTAGTTAACGAAGGGGGCAAGCTGCAGGATGACTGAGTTGAGGTCTCCAGGGTAAGTGGACAGGTTCTGCCACCTGCCTGGCTCCCAGCGGTTTTCCTCGAATTGGACGAGGAACTCTGCAGAGACACACAGCTGGCTTAAAAAATGGCAGACCGCTTACTGTTAAAGGTGTGGGAGTGTGAGGAGTTCAGCAGGTTTTCAAGGCTCTTGAGATCAGCTCTTGCTCCTGCGGTGGACCACCTGCAGTTGTGGCTTCATGTATTCTGGTATAATGTAATTTCATCCCCTCATCATTAACTTTGTTTAATGACCCTAACGCATTAATTTTACAAAACTTTCTATAAATACAGCATATAATTATCATTTTACGAGTAATAGGACTGCAAAATTTCTCTGATGGATTATAATTGTGGCCTTTAATTACTGAAGGTATTAGGTGTACTTGAATAAGTACTTCTATTTCAGCTTCCCTACACTATCATTTCTTTCCTGAGCTTGGTGACCTGAGACTAACTAACACCTCACCTTTCTAGCTCTCCTTTACTCACACAATCTCCCTACAGGATGCACTCAGTGTTAGGAGACTATTACCTCTTTTCCACCAAGGCAGTTTTAGTGCTGGTTTGAAACCGGTGCCTAATCTGGAACCAGTTATTAGCGTTTCGCCAAAGAACCAGCTCTTGGCAGATACAAGCATAGCTGGATAGCCAGCTAGCTGTTGGTCAGCTAACATTACCAAAGCAAGCACAACTTGCAACATATTTCTCCCATCAATGTTTTTTCATAACATTGATGATGATCATAACTTTAATGTTACTTTTAGTGCCTGAATTGGACCAAAACAGGTGCCAGTACCCTAATTCAGTACAAACCTAACCGTGTTTTTTAAATCCTTTTTAACAAGGACAATTTCAGTGCTGTTTTCTTCGTGTTAAGCTAGCTGTGTTACTAACATTTCTGTACAAATGTTTTAAAATACTGAGGTCCAAAAACTGACCTTGCTAGGTTGGTCTGAGAGGTATGCATCAAAGTGGTTATTTTTAGGCAATAATTTATAACTTTTCCACCTTTGTGAGTAGTGGTAGGTACGGCCATGCTCACCAGAAAAGGCAGCACTCAAGAAGAAGAATACTCGGTAAGTAGTGGTACCCAGTGAGTACTGACCCATTTCAGGCACTGGTAGCTTTCAAGGCTAGTAACGTTGATGAAATGAGTAGCTATTCTTGCTTAGGTAATGTTAGCTGACCAAAAGCTAGCTGGCTAGTTAACAATAACTAACGTTGGAGATGTACAGTGACATAATGATGTGGCTCTATGGTAGCTCTCTATCCAGTGGAAAAGCAAACCGGTTCTTAAAAGGTTCTTAAGTTGAACAAACTCTGAACTGGCACTAGCACCAGCCCAGAACAAGCACTGGGGTCACGTTGGTGGAACGGGGGTATATGAGATGAATGAAAGCTGAACCCGTTCCAGACCAATATAGCTCAGTATGCCTGTAACACAAGACAAGTTTTTGGGAAATGCGACAATACAGGGCAATTTAATCCTTCCAGGATGTCCAGGAGATGTGAGTGAATACAGATATATGAGGAGTGTGTGACTACTGACGTGTGACTGGGCTTCTGTGGTCATTTCCGGGGATCCAGGTGAGGCGAATGCTGCGGGCAGCTGGGTCAGATAGATCCAGATCAATCGGAGGGTCTGGACGGTCTGCAGAGCAACAGGAACTATCTTAAACATGGCAAACACATACTGTGCTATACAAGGAGACACATACAAGAATAGGCATGCTGCGAAACACTTGTCACGCACTTGTCCAAATCTCGCAGTTCACTGTTGATGTTTTGAAACACAGTTTACAGTTTCAAAATCAACAGTGAACTGGGAAATATATCAAAAAGGAGAAAATATGGCAAAATTAGGAAAATGACTCCCTAATAACATAAACAAACAGCTTGGAGCGAGTGTATTATCGTACCAAACTGGACATTATGACTCAATCTTTAGACTCAATATGAGATCAAATGACTTAAGAGGATGGATTGTGGTGCATGCATATGAAAATCCATTCTGTATTGAAAACAGTATCTTCTCACAAACAAACAGAGAAAAAAAAAAAACTTTGGCACACCTTTGGCACATAATAAAATAATATCATACCATATTAAACATAATTAAGTGTTTTAATATTATAACATAACAGAGGCACAAGTTGAGAGAGAAGCAGTGAACAAAAAGTCAAATAATAAAAAGAGAAAATAAACAGGGAAAGAAAAACCAGGACAGGAAAGTAAAGAAAAACAGAGACTTCCACCCGAGCCATGTGTTACCTGGAGGCAAGGCACTAGAGACTGAGGGGTTGAGGGAGGCTTCCTCTGTGGGGAGGGGACAAGGACCAGGAAGTGAGTATAAAGGTTAGAGTTTGCAGGTTAGTCTACTGGCCAATCAACAGCGAGGGAGCATAATGGTTAACATGTAATTTAGTACATTTAGTGTTAATGTAAGTCAGCTTCACTAAGCTCCAGTTTGAGACAATCATGTAATCATCATATTTACTTTGAGACTTTTGCACTGACAGTTATATCTGAGACACTGATGTAAGCCATTTATCCCAAAAAGTTAAAATAAACTCAGGTCAATCCAAGGTTATATGAGATTTAAAACATGAATATAGCAATAAACAACTATTCTCTATGTAAGCATTTAGTAGAGTCATGGTCCATCTGCCTGTGTTGCTATTGCAGCCTCTCTGTAGTTTGTTTCCATAGCCGGTCTGCTCCGAGTGCAGCTGAGTAGAGCGACTGAAACTGCTGTTTTTATCATCAGCGTCTAACAGAGATTATGAAGATAACCAAAGACTAACAAAGATGTTTTGGGTGAATTTAATTTAGTTTCTGTCCACTTTGAAGGATGTTATGATATGTGAGGTAAATGACTGTTTTTGTCTGTGGAATCTGGGGACAAGCAATAGCAATATTACAATTGTTTCTGGTTTAACAAAAGGTCTATCTCTGTAGGGATCCTTTCGATAATGTTGTCAGACACAAGCACTTTTTATGGACATATTTTGATGGCTGCATTGTTGTCCCCAAGGATTAACATCAGTTTACGCTGCGACCATAGCAGCCCTTTTCACAAATATGTTTGCATCAGAAAATGACATACTGTAAGTTTAATGCAAAAGTCTCTAATGTCAAAGTAATGGTCAGACAGGATGCTCTAACTGAGTCCACAGGACAGCTTCACTACAGCACTTCTACACAGTCAGCACTACAGTACCTCAATATGCTGCATGCAAACTGTTAAATCAGTAGAACAAGTACAGTTAAAGCTAAGCTAGGTAAGTATATTAGTTGCAACGATAAGACATGCATGATTTCCATTTGAAGACCTAGAGCTGAAAAATAGTAGAGTGTCAAGAAAAACTGAAGATAAAAAATGAGGTGATATATGAAGCACCAACAACAAACATAAAAGCATTATGCTGTGTGTCAGAGAGGGAAATATGTACAATTATTTTAGTATTTCAAGAGTATTTTGAGAGACTTCCTACTTTTCCTTCACTATATTTAAAATGTTTAATAACTTTTACTTTACAACATTTAACTGGCAGCTGAAGTTAGCAGTTTCTTTACAAGAAACAGTTTTACATGCAAAATACATAAGCTGATGCTGTGTGTTATTTAGACTTGGAGAAATTCTTGTTCAAGCCCTGTTCTGTATATGAGTGTACCTAACACAGTGAGGCGGGCTGAGGCTGAGTCCTGGTCTATCTCAGATTTAACAGTGCAACTGTACGTTCCCTCGTCGCCCTCGTTCACATTGGGGATGGTCAGTGACTCCTCGTCTTTCCTCAGCCTGGGAGACAAACGGAGAGAGAGGACATTTTATACATCTGACATCTGTTCAAACTACAAAAGATACTTCTGGCATGTTTTAGCTTGGTTTTCACTCCAAGACAAGTTACTGTTGTATGCCTTAACTCGAGCTAGAGCCATGTGACATGACATGGTTTTGACAGATGCAGGACTGAAGCATCAGAGATGTTTTAGAGTCAGTGTAGGTGCCGTTACCTCCATCCCATGTTAAGAGGCTTGTCGTCCTTGGTCCAGGTCACGGTGATGGGCAGGGTAGGATCAGACTTCACCTTACAGTTAAAGCGGGCCGTGGAGCCCCTGATGGCTGACTGGTGCTCCGGGGCTCGAACAATACGAGTTGGCTCTGAGTGGGAGTGAAGTTGAAGAGGAACACATACATACACATACTACATGAACTTGCACATTTAGATGCATCCTTGAAAATCAGCAAAAGGTGAAACTGATGGCCGACAAATGTAGTGTTTTCTTGTCCCTGATGCTTGGTCATTGTTTTACAATTTATCTTCCTTTCCTTTTTTTCCTTCTACAGGCCTACTGTGTATACTTATTACGTTTTCTTACATGGCTTAAAATCAAGAAGGCCTTGCGACAACCTATTAAGCTTTGGCGACCCCTAGAGGTTGGGAACCACTGCTGTAAGGCCACCCTGTTGTCCAATATACCACCACAGATTCTAAGACTTTTTTTTTCTGTTGAAGCAAGTGAACTAAATCTGCACAGGTGTGTGACGACTTCACTTATAAGTAATTTGCATTAGCAGATCTATTGTGGAGCATAGGAACATCTCACTTGTTGGACTGTAAAATGTAATCAAGGCAGCAGATTCTTCCAAAGTTTGTTTAACTAAGCAAACCTGTGGGATATGAAAGCATTTTGTAGGAGACAGGAATGACAAAATGTGTTTAATTGTTAGTTTTAGTTGAGCATCTCTACTTTCCATTTGAATTAAAAAAATGTTTTATGTGAAATGAAAAGGTATATCAACCAAACCAGTGGCAGAATAGTTAACCTATTTATTATTATTATATATATTTTTTCAGTTCAGTTTTGCCCTGAATACTAGGATGGATATTTTTTTGCAGTGTATGCAGTCTGAATACAAACATGAGAAGATGAAGCAGTTTAGTTTTAAGGCACAAGAGATTGGAGCTGTTTGGCACGAGGAAAGGAAATAATTTAATCTTTCACACACAATTCTGACATGCAGTTGGAATCCATTTAAAGTTGTGTTGGAGCTGATTGTAGCACATGCGCTCTGCTGTAGGCTGCACATGATGTTGCATGGTTACAGAATGACCTCATATCAACATGTCATGGCAAAGTTGCAAGATGACTAGTTTTGGATGCTGAGTCAAACAGGATCCCTCACACGAGTCTGAGTGCAGCAGAGGTGTAATGTCTGACCTTTGACCTCCAGGCGGACCTGGTTCTCAGCTGATCCCAGGATGCTGTTGGCCAGGCAGGTGTAGGTGCCCTCATCCTCTGCTCGGGCCCGTTTGATCTCTAGGGTCCCATTGATGTAAACACGGTACTGACCGCCATCCAGCCCACTGCCCTGTCCGTTCTTAAACCTATGCACAAAGAAAACACATGGCTTAAAAACTGAAAATTTAACAATAAAGTTCACAATTCAGTGTCTTTCTCAGTGACACATGGATAAGGGCTCTCATTTTTGGGGGATTTAAGTAAACAAAAACAAATGAGATGCTCACCAGCGTAGCTCCGGCAGAGGGGACCCAAAGAAGGGACAGTCCAGGAAGGTGCGGTTGTTCTCGATGACTTTAATCAGCTGGTTTTTGGGGCCCAGCATCCTCGGAGGCATGTCTACAAAGAGAGGGATCACACCTCCAAGTTTAAGAGTTTAATCAAACAGTGATCTGATTGGATTTAGCAAAACTTTGATTGTAATAAGAACTTGGTTCTTTCTCACAGCACTCATGTCACAGTAGGAAAAATAATAACATCAACAATGTTTCTGTTTTATCCTAGTGTCCCAGTAAGACACCTGAAACTGAAGCAACTACCTATTGTAAACAGAGGCTACTAGCTCCTTCATGAAATACAGTTAAATCCTGTAAACAGTTTTAAATAAGTTGCTAGCAACATAGATGAGAACAAGGCAAGTCATTTCACACAGTGCAATGAAAACCTGATATTAAAAAATGTGTGTGTCAGAGTGTCCAGAGAGAGATTCTTATGAAGCAGTATCAACTTTTGTTGATGATTTAAAATCAAAAGCTCCGAGGTGACCAAAAAAACACTATTGCAACACAGTCCTCATATTAAGATTTTGGATTTTGGGGGTATACCAACTGGTGAATAGGGAAACCAAGGCATACAAAAAGAGGTGTAATACTCCCAGCCAGTGTTAGTCATTGCTCTTTACATCGTGAAATCAACCTCCTCCTTCTGTGTCTCACCGAGGACGCTGACGAAGGCATTGGCCAGCAGGTAGCCGTGCTGGTTGGAGGCGTTGCACTGGTAGACGGCGCTGCTTCCCATCTGCACTGAGCGAAAGATGATGGTGTCACCCAGCTCCTGCCTGCTCGGGTTCGGGGGAGAGCCTTGGGTAAGGGGGAGGGGGAAGAATTGGGAAAAGAGGAAGGGAACAGAGAGATAGTGAGGAAAATAATATTTAGAAAGACAGAAAAATAATACAAATGAAATCATCTACAGAGATTCAAGTTTTATGGTAGGTCTTGGTTGGGACGTTAATAGTTAATTGTACTACAAGGAGTTTTTAGCTGGTCAAGTTCATTTGCATTGGGGCGTCTGTCGCTCAGAGGCAGAGCGGGTCGTCCCCTAATCGTAAGGTTGTTGGTTCAATCCCCGGCTCCCCCTGCCACATGTCGAAGTATCGTTGAGCAAGATACTGAACCCCAAATTGCTCCTGATGCTGTGCATCGGTGTGTGAATGTGTATGAATGAGTTAGTTTCTGTTCAATGGGCTTTGCCATCACTGAGTGAATGTGTGTGAAAGGGTGAATGTGGCACGTAGAGTAAGAGTGCTTTGAGTGGTCGGAAGACTAGAAAGGCGCTATACAAGTACAGGTCCATTTACCATTACCATTCCCTTTGAAATTATTGAAATGAGGCAGGGGAAACACTATCAATAAATCCCTGATAGGGTCTTTAAGGTCTTTAAGCCCAAATACAGCAGTTCAACTTCACTGTTTAGTTTAATAGACAGGAAAGAAAGAAAGAAAGAAAGAAAGAAAGAGTAAACACATTAGCTATACATACTTTCTACAGGCTGTCCGTTGATCAGCCACTGGATATTAGGTTTAGGGTTGCCGTTGGCCCGACACACCAGGCGCCCGTTCTCATCTGGGGCTAGCACCAGGTTTGTGGGTTTGTCCAGCCAATAAGGGGCCGCTGTGGAACACAGGGAGTCACAGGTTAGCCACTCAAACACAAGCTCATATATTTGTATGTACACATGTAAGCTCCTCACCTTTGACCTGAACAAAGATGGAGTGGCGTATGCTGCCTAGGTGATTGTTGGCCATGCACACATACTCCCCAGCATCCTCCTCAGACACGTTAATAATCTTCAGGGTCTTGTTGTAGTTCTCAAACTTCACTTTTCGTGCCGGCAGGTCCCCGCCCTTCTTAAACCACTTGACGGTGGGCGTCGGACTGTAGGGGAAGGACAGAGAGAGGAGAGACATGAGATGAGCTTGGTGTGAATGATAGACTCAACAGCCTCATTTTGTTTCTGTCATTTATCTGCATTCAACTGAGGGGTTAGGGGTAGGATTAGGGATAGGGGGTAGGGTTAGGTTAAGAAAATAAGTTATTTTTCCCAAGGTATCCCTTGTGGAGATTTCCTGGGAAAAAGGGTGTGTGCTGGCCATTCTTGCTGTTGTTTTTATTTGGAGAAAGATAAAGTTCTGTGCCCTGGTGTGGTAATAATTTCTAATATTTAGTCCGCTGGGGAATCTGGTGTTCAGTTTTCTGATCCAGTGTCTTTCAGCTTTTGTCCTCTCCACTGGTGTCCAATTTATTTTGTGTTGTATCCCTGTTATCTCTAATGACCCTAGGCCATGGTTAATGAAGTGTGCTACTAAATGTGTGTGTGTGTCTTTGTGATTTTTTAAGTTGTAAATGTGTTGTGCTAGTCTAGTTTTAATTGTGTTGCCTGTTTTTCCTACGTATGAGATGCCACAGTGTTTACACTTTATGGCATATACGCAGTTGTGTGTGTTGTTTGTTAGGGTCTGTTAAATGGGGTATGTGGTGTTGTTTTTAAGTTGGTTTTTTTTTAAAGGTTTTTATGGGATACGGGGTAGTGTTAGGGTTAAAGGTAGGGTGAGGAGTTAGGGTTAGGAAAGAATTCCTTTTTCCCAAGGTATCTCCTGTGTGAATTCCCCAGGAAAAAACATTTCCATTCCATGCATCAGCGTATATTTAGACCTAGGGGGAATCTTGTGTTTAGTTTCCTAATCCAGTGTTTTTCTGCTTTTTTCCTCTCCTGCGGTGTCCAATTCATGTTAGTTTCTATGCCCAATATTTCCAGTGCCTCTAGGCAGTGGTTGATTAAGTGTGCCACTTAATGTGTGTGTGTGTGTTTTTCAGATTTTTTATGTTGTATATGTGTTGTGCTAACCTAGTTCTAATTGTGGTGTGTCTCCCTTACGTTTATACTGTTACAGTGTTTGCACCGTATGACATATACACAGTTGTTGTTGTTTATTGCTAGGGTTTGTTTAATTACGTTATTTTCTATATATATTTGTTTTTTACAGTTTTTGTGTGTTTGTAAAATATCGGACCCTGTTGAGGTACTGTGTTCATTGTTAGCAGTTTCCTTTTCACCAGGCAGTCCTTAAACAGCAGCAAAATATTGACACATGAAGTCTATTTTTTGTAGTATCCTTGCAGTAAAATTCATATTTTATCGTATCTTTTGTGTGTGTGTGTGTGTGTGTGTGTGTGTGTGTGTGTGTGTGTGTGTGTGTGTGTGAGCTCACAGTCCAGCAGCAATACACTCCAGCAGCAGTTTCTCGTCTCGTAGCACCATTTTGGTGCTCTCGCTGCCTGAAGGTGAAAGGAAGTTTGGCGTGGACTCGGCTACTTTACGGCCTGCAGAAGAGGAACAAGGAGGGGTTAATACACACACACACACACACACACACACACACACACACACACACACACACACACACACACACACAAACACTTTGATGAATCCAATCCAGGAGCCCTATAGTTTATCGTTGTACCATGACTCACTTCCTACAAGGAGCTAAACATCCACTTTGTAGGCACTGCCACATAAATTTAACACTATTATTCTGATCATTTCCTTGTGGCTGTGTTCCATCTCCGCCGGGCTTTGGCTCTCTCTGCAGTCTGTTGTGAGGCCAAAGCAGCCTGTAAACGGGTTTAACACCCTCTGGCTTGTCTCACAGGAAGACATTAAGAGATGCAGAAACAACAACAGGGTCATTGATCTCGCTTTATGTCTGCCAAGGGAACAGAGATGGCTAAGATTGCCATTAAAAGCTTAAATAAAGCAGCTGATATAACTTGCCCAGTTGTTCTGCTGTGATGAGATTAAGTTTAACATCAACCTGAAGTATATACGAGGTCATGCAGTTGATGGCATTAGCCTTCAACCCCGTGTTAAACCCTCCCCTAGGGCTTGGCTAAAGCAATAAGCTGCAGTAGCATTGTAACTGCCAAAACTAGAGCCTTTAGAACTTGGTGTTCTCTGGAGTTGGCTTTTAGGTTAGGCCTTTTCTAATCCCTACAATGCAATGAGGAGGGAGAAGGGATGATTAAGGTATATTTTAAACCAATGCTAAATGATTTGATGCAATAACTGAGAAGTGGTTTAGCATTAATCATTCAGTTGGTTGGTACAAACTTTTGAACACAAATTGTGAATCTTCAGTTCTACTCTGCCTGGGTCTCAGCCATATCCTCTCACCACTGCCAGCAGGCGCTTCACATCACCATTTCATTCCCTGGTTCTCAATAAAGCCTGTTTCTGGAAATCCTAACTGAGTTTGTATTCTGCTTGTGGGTTCCTCTGTTTAACATAGCAGGGATTCTGAATGGGTCTCAAAGTGTGTGGTCAAAAAACTAAATCTACTTTAAATGCTTAGCTATGTGATGTCTGACTTTTATTTTGACAAAATAGCTTCCATAAATGCCTGGTAAGTGAAAACATTTTGTAGGCCTTACTTATGCAGTTATGATTTAGATTTTATTCATATTCAGAACAATCATTAGCACACTGTTGTGACTGTCATACTCAACCTATTGCAGTGATTTATGACCATGAGAAAATATGGGTCCCAAAGTGAGACACATTGAGAACCATTTAAATAATACTTATGGCAACAGTGTATTGATATAATGCTACTTATGTGACGTTTTTCTACTCTACTTTTGGGCTTGAAACTGCCATAAAACTTGTTTTAAACAGTTACAGCACTGCTCAGGTTTTACCATGTTAATATATTTCAACTGCTTTAATCTTTACAGTTCACGGCTTTGAGTGTTTTCAAGGCTTACACACAACTGACTTTTCCACTACTTCCAGCTCTTACTTACTTACTTTCAGTGGCCTAATGCTTCAACTGCATTCAGCTCTTTAACAAGCCCTTCAGTGTTTCAAAGGAGCTTCAACTTAAACTGCAGACCTGTCTCATCAGATTTAAACTTTAACATTTTACAGTTTGCACCTGTAAACCCTAACAGCATCTGCAAGTGGGATTTTCAGTGTAATTCAGTGTAAAAGATTTTATGAGTTTAGAATTAGAATTTGACAAATTTGCGAGGAGTGTGTGTTGACATTTTGCTTAGTGCCCTAAAAAAGGCTTGTGCAAACATGCACCTCATCCAATTGATCCTTCTTAAGCCCTCCCCTTTTTGCTCTCAATAACATTAGCTAGATAATTACAACTGAGAGCTAATGTTAACAAAACACTAGTTACACTAGTAGTCCACATAGACGAGCCTACCACATAGCATGGCAAGTTCAGGAAAGGAGAAAGTTGACTGAGGCTAAGAAGGGTGAATGTTTGAAGCTATGTAAATGATAGTTGACTGATAATTGATAATTGTTTGCAAATATGCCACTGACTGAACCAATTTAAAACAACTGCTGCTTTAAATTATTTTATTGTACAGCCTAATTTTTCTGATCGTTACTCAGAGTTAAAGACTGCACATTTCCAGTCTGATCCAGTCCCAGTACAAATGCTGTTAACACTATGGCCACAAAATCCAGTCAGCATAGAGCTACAGCCGGCTGAGAAGTGTGTGGGATTTGAGTAGCATTAGCCTCCTTTGTGATGCAGATCTGTATGGGATTAAAGCATCTGTTAACGGTTAGCTTCTCCAGTGGCCGGTAAACAGACGGGAGTGGGCGAGGAGGATCTGTTATTATTGATGACACTGGGAGGAGAAGAAGAATGACAAGAGGAGGAAAAATACAGAAAAAGAAGCTGTGAGGGTTAGTGGTAACAAATCGCTAGAAGGAGCTACGGTGATGCAGTGAGCGCCCAGGGAACATGGCAGACACCCTGCAGATGTTGGATGCAGCTTTAGACCCCTTTCACCCACAAAAAAGACAGTTGTGTTTTTTGCTTGCGTGCGTGTTCAAAAGAAATTAGTGATAAAAGTAGCGAGCATGTGTGCACGAGTGTTTGAGTGGTTGTGTGTATGCGTTTCAACAGCCTTTACAGTCCCCATCACTCCCCCGCGCTCTCACAGAGACATGTTTGAGAGCAGAAGTAGGAGGCGGCTATCATCCATACATATATGACTATTAATGACCACAGCGTGAATCCAGACTGAATATTCATCATGGGACCTATGTGCTGGATCCTCGTTGCTGTCTTCAGTCCCACTGGGTCTCAAAGGAGCATCTTCTCCCCTAGGGACATATCCCATCCACCCCTGGGCTTCAATGCACCCCCTACCCCCCCCAGCTCAGAAAACGGCACATATGCTGCCACTATGCTGCCCTCCAGCTATGGGCTCATTCGAAAGGTGTGTGGCATAATGAATATACAGATTCAATTCTCTGTGTGCAATATAGTTGGATTAAGGGTAATTTGTGTGTTAATTACTGTATGTTTATTCATTACATGTGACCATTTAACACTGATTGAAAGGTAAAATAAACTGATTATGGGCTAAATGAGATGAATAATTCTTTCTACTATGTGAGTGTAAATTAGGGTCAGAGGAGTTGGTTTGTCTTTTATTTGAAGTCACATCTGGTCAGCCATTCTCTACTCTTATGTTGTCATTTGATTTCAATCTATATTTAATGAATAGCTGACTGGTGCTGATTGATTAGGAAAAAATGGATTCTGCTGCAACATTTTGCATTGTTGTCTGTCAACAGGGTTTTACTGTACATATTTTGTTCTGAGGCGAACACTCACACAAACCATGACAGTGGAAGACTGTAAACTCTAAATAGGCTCATGGTTTTCCATGCCTTTATTTATACTGCATTTTAAAGGAATTTATCAGGAATAAAGTCATTTTTTATATTACAGACTGTAAATTGCACAGAAAACCACTGTCATATCATTCATATGGTATTTTCCTATGGCAAAACTGTTTCTTTTGATGGTAAAATCTTGTATTTATACGGGAAAAATTGATTAAAACTCAACAGTTCTAATATCCTTTTACCGTAAGTATCTAAACTTACTTAAACTTTAGTTATTATTTATAAATGAAGTTCTGGCAAACACAGCTGCCAGTTTTTTTACTGTTAAATATATATCATCTTTTTTTAAAGTGCCGCAGGCACAAAGAAACAGCCGCTTAAATAAAAAAATATCTGTATCGTTTATAAAAACTAGTGTAAAAAACCAACAACATTTCAATCTAAAAAAACATTGCTGATAAAATTACTCAACGCCTCACAAAACTCCTGAAACTACTACTTCTTCAGACAAGATAAGACAAATGAAGGCCCAGTAACTGGTAAATGTGTTTGAAAATTATCTGTTGTAGAGCCATTTTCACTACATGTTTTATGATGCCAATTTTGAATCAGCTAATAGTTCTGTCCAGGGTGCAAAATTAACAGCTGCCAAGCACCAAATGTGGGTAAATTTTATGTTTGATGGAAAATAAATTTGGGTCACCAGCCAGGTGTTTGATAAATAATGTGGAATCACAGTGTAGGACCTAGAGCTCCTCGGAGCCAAGAAAGATAGAAAGACGCTTTGGTTTAGTGGCTTTCTCAGCTCTGATTGGCTGTTTGTTCGTTCAGGCCCAGTGGATTCTGATGAATGCCATCAGGAGCACTAGGAGGAGCCAGAGGAACCAGATTTTTTCACAGAGTATCTGTCTCATGTACTGCTGTCAGGATATAGTGAAAGTTTCAGCAAAAGTAAAAAAAGTTACCTACTGCAGCTTTATTATTGACAACACACAGTGAACTCTACACATGTAGAAAGCAGTTAGGAGGTTAAATGTGTGTTTAAGGTCAGTCTGAGGTCAGTGAGAGTTACTGAGCCAGCAGCTTAGTGTGCTAGCCTTGTTAAGAAGAAGTGGACAGGAAGTGGAGCTGTCCCGACAGGAAGTGACTCACCACCGTAGGGGTCAGTGGCATTGTAAGATGTGTCATTATACAGCTCCTCTGAAAACACAGGCACACACAGTGGCTCATCAGTCCAAACACTGAACAAAGCTGAAAGAAAAGATTTTAAATCCAACATTTCATTGTCTTCTCCATTCTGCAGCAACCTGTGGACATATTATAAAAGGTAATGTTGCAGGCATCTCATGTCATGTCATCACATCACCTCTAGATGGAGATATGTCATATTCCATTCCCATTGACATGGCGAGAGAGCAGGAGCTCAGAGTTCATACACAGCTACCACAGTGGCTCCTGTGGAATAAAGGACTGTACTGAGGATATGTCTACTCACTGGTCTGAACTCTGAGTGTAAAGGGGTTCTTCTGCTGGATAGTGTGTGTGAAGGGGAAGCGAGCGTTGCAGCTGTAGTCAGTGTGAGCATCTTTGGCCAAAACGTTGGAGAAGTACAGGTCACCGTTCAGACCCATGGAAACTCTCTTATCCTGAGGGATGGGAACCATACCTGGAGGAGAACAGACGGAGGGAAATGGAAAAGGGAAAAGAGAGAGAGGAAATGAAACACCATTTGATTTGTACAGTCGTTAATAGAGACTACAGCATCAGTAAGCATTACAATTCCTTTCCTAAAAGCAGTCAAAGATGTGGGTTTGCGGTTTTAATGTACACTTAAATTTTAAGAATCTTTACCTTGGATGAGAAAAGACTATAAGATGTGTGTTACACATTATTATAGTTGGGAAAAAGATATTTATGCTTCTAAAGTCACAATATCACTTTATTTTATAGGTCTGTAATTGTTTCCGAGAAGTTTCCTACCTCAACTGCCACACTGCATTATTTCTTTCCAGGAAACTTCCTTGGATTTTATTATTCAGAAATTTAGAATAAAATAAAATATAAGCATTACTAACATCACAACAGAATGGGGACCATGTAGGTTCTAGACCATGTACTTTTTTTGCAGGAAAAACATATCTGACACACATTATTGTTCCAAGCAGATTTGTTTGGAGGGGAACTTTAAGTTTGATTCTGATTTCTGAGGTCGTAATACAAATGGGCAGGCAGGGTCTAACGTAAAAGTCGGTTGCATTATGGGAATTGTAGCATCCAGCGTTTCTGGACATTGTTCCATACTAGGAACTAAAAGTCTGGATATTTCAACCTCTACTACTTGGATTTTGATCATTCTTTTTTCTTTCTTTTTTTGCTCTGTCTATTCATGGAAAACCTTATGCAATACCAAATTGCTTCATTAGCCCTTTAATCAAGCAGGGCTATATCCACTAATGCTAGCATTTTAGATACAGTGTATATAAAGATGATATGAATCCAACCACACACATCATCTGCAAAGATAGTGTAACTTGATTTTGTTTGGCTGCAGAAGCAGTAAGAAATCCCCTTCTACCAACTGATCTCTCACATCTTGTATCACAGGCTAAAAATATCCTATTCAAAAGAAGACGCAATGGTACCTTTAAGGCCAACCATTAGCATGCAGGATGCATACATTTAAACATATAACTCAGTGTACTATCTATTCAGGTTAGCTCTGGTAACCACACTGATGTGTCACCCTTCAGGCAGATGTTAGCAGCACACCCACACAGACGTCCAGACGGACCGTCATCCACACTCAGTATCTGCGCCGGCTGATGCGAGCCGTATGGTCATCAAGACAGTGCCCCAGGATCAATCAGCAGCCGGGCCAGCGGTCCTAATTACGAATTGGTGTCTTACAGTGTCTAGGCCATATGTGTGTGTCATATAGGGTTTTCCCTGAGTTCACATAAGTAATAGGACCTATAGCTGCACCATCTACGATTTTAACTGATGTCATGGATATGTTTCTCTCACATTAGTCATTTTCAGGTATAAAGCACAATATTCAAATAAATGATCAGTGCTATGGTTGTTTCACTAACTCTGAGACTGTCAACTTTTAAACTGTTTTTCGTTTTTTCTGTTTTGCACAATACACTGCAATGTTGCACGTGTACAGTTATCCATCTGGACCATATTCCACTTTATTGTAAATATGTTTTATATTCTAGATTGTTATTATATTTTAATTTTTTTTATTTTATTGTATTGTATTTTTACTCTTTTTCTGCCCTTTGCACTACATTTCCCCTGTGCTGCTGTGCCAAATTTGAATTTTTTGGTTCCCCAACCTTTTTCCTTAAGGGACCCCTTTTCTGTTATTGAATAAAGTGGCGCTTAAGTGACATATTTAATAGATATTTACTATTATATTCAAAACTCTACAATGAATCCAAATAGTGAATTCAATAACTGCAAGAAGCATGTCTAAGTTATTTGGATGAATTATGAGCAGATAATTTACTTTGATCATTTTAACAGTCATAAATAATCTGTCATCATCAATACATAATTCAGTGATTTCTTGTCCCTAGAACCTGGCCATTGTTAAATTAGACTTTAATTAATTTACTTAACTTTACACGTCTTAAAATCAAGAAAGCCTCACCACCCCCAAAAAGCTTTGACAACCCCTTGTGGCGGTCCCGACCCTTAGGTTGAGAACCACTGCTATAGCATAAGCCGCCCGACGAGGGATAGAGACTCAATGAAAGCATCAGAGGTCACTGGAGACAAACTGCTGTGAAAAAAGGCAAATAAAGCCTGTCCTTAGATGACCTGAAAGACCTCCAGCTTATTACAATGTAAAGGCAGTAAAAACTAATAAAATAATAACTTCTCAGCACCTAGACTGTTTTTCTTTGGGGATTGAGTGACTTAAGGTGGTTGTGTTACCTTAGTAGTGTCAGCTGAGGACGACCTTACTGTCTTACTACTAGATGCTGGTATCATATGAAACTGGATGACCTAAGCAATCCATTGGTACCAACCTGTCTAAATAATGCTCCAGAGTTAAATCTTGGCGATGGAAAAACTGGCATGGCCATTTTTAAAGTGATCCCTGACCTCTGACCCCAAGATATCTTACATACATGTAATGCATGTACATACATATACATGTTTGAGCAGTCAAAATTGGTAAAGATTTTCCATCAAATCTGTGTAACAAATGTTATCAGCACAGAAATTGCATGGCTCATTGATGCACGTGGGGAGCAAAGGCTGGCACAGACAAGCTATTGTATGGGCAAGTGGTTGGCCTTAAAGGTGTCTTTGCTTCTGCCTTTAATAATTCATCCCCAAGTAAAAAAAAAAGCAAAATTCCTTTAAACAAAGTTGTATTTGAGGAATATGGAATGCCAAAAGGATTATTATTCACCTTTTCCAACCCTTTGTGTAAAAGCCAGTAACCATCAGCTGTCACCCACTGCTGTCCCAGCGTATACATATTGCTCACATGTCTCAGCCCACCTTAAGATAATAAAACTGCACCAGATAACGAGTGATAGTGTCACTTTTACTGGCTGATACGGTGAAGAAAATCAGCAGGACACACAGATATAACACGTAGAAAAACAGAAATATACACAGAGTACTCTGTGTGTGTATTTGTGTGTAACTGTTGCTCACCGCTGTTCATCCAGAAGGTGTACGGAGGAGGCAGGCCTGGCGGGGGGTTGCAGGGTAGAACCAGCGGTGAGCCTTCAGTCACCATCACCGGCTCCAGCACCTCTTTAGGCCACAAAGGAGCCTCTGAAGGATGGGGATGGGGGAGGGGAGTGGAAGGGGGTGGAAACAAGCAGGAAAATTAGGAAAAAGATGAGAATAATTATATATAACAAGAATTTCAGTCAGATGAGGTTGAGGGGGATGATCTTGGCAACATGTGACAAAATGTAGGGAATTTCTGGTTGTTGCAGTTGTGGTCAACAGATATTTTTAAGCAAGCACAGTCAAAGTGAAGTCAAGTAATCAAGACAATTTTTGTGGAAACTTTATCATAATTTGTGTGAGTGGATTATGTTCAATTATTATGTAATCATGTGTATGTGTTCTTGTATATTCTTACTGGAGACCCGGAGCAGGATTTTGTTGGACAGAGCCACTCCTAAGTCATTGGTGGCAAAACACTGGTACTCTCCTTCGTAGTCCTCTGGTCGTCCTCCGCTACGGAAACCGATCTCCAGGGTTCCCGAGCGTTTTCGCATCGTCACCCTGGGATCCTTCCCAATGTTGAAAAACTTTCCGTTCCTCCGCCATGAGAACCTGAGCCCAATGACAACGAATCAAAGAGTTAGGACTATGACATCCCCGATTGTCCTCTTTATGTGATGCTCATTTTGAGTTTGATACAGTCTTTCTGGTGACAACCAACTTTGTCAGTTTTGTTGCCTTGTCAACAGTCTTCTTACCACAGAATCCGCTGTAGTCACATGACATATATATGAGGCAGCAGAGGCAGAAAAACTAGCCCTGGCTTCCATCTGCATTATAACAGGCTGAATAATGATGAAAGATTATGGTGAATCCTCATCTGCAGAGAGAACCAGGCCTTTTCATGGCAGAAGTTATCTTGGCATTAGGTATTGCCCACTGGGCTATGACCATGTTAACATGCACTCTTTAATTGTTTCAGCATCCAGAAAATGTGAAAGTCTTTTGCTTGTCATTTGGCTGCCATCTTACATTACTCAACAGCACAAAAGGCTGCCATGCCACGCGCTCTCCATGTGCATGTAATAGTTGTGTAGCTTAATCCTGCTCCATGTGGTGCTTCCAGAGGGTTCCCTGATTAGTGAAGAACACTCAGTATGCTTACATAACCCGCCTCTATTTTTAGTGATGAGCGGGGATTTACAAAAGATGCTTCCTATCATTTTTAGCGAGTTACAGTGGAGCTGGGCCTGTTTGAGGTGCAGCACAGCGCTGAGCCTGAACAATGGGCCACTATTGAAGGGCTGGAGACCAGAGCTGTGTGTGTTGTGGCATGTGTTGCGTAGTGAGAGACTGATTGCGAGTGAATAAGTGAACGATCCCTTTCGCTGAATGTTTCATGAGCATGAATAGTCAACCGAGTGCATTATTGGAGTACAATGCCTGTCCTGGGAAGGGGAGAGCCAGTATGTGCACATGGGAGAGTGGCCATGAGTGCCTTATTGTGAGGTTGTGTAAGCCTGTGTGTACGCAAGAATCTGGGTGAGTGTGCACGTATATGTGTGTGTGTCTTACGTAAAGCCAATCTGCCTCCAAATAAACAATGTACCACTGTCCTGAGCCGGTCATACCCCCAGTGATGTAACCACTGGAGACCCAGTGTGTGTGTGTGTGTGTGTGTGTGTGTGTGTGTGTAGTCATGTCTCTGAGTGTGAACTGTGTGAGTATTTCGAGGCATGTGTATGTGTACATAATTGAGTGTACATCACAGCAGTTTTTTGTGTCTTTGTGTGTGTGTAGAGCCAAAAAAAAAAGAAAAATCTGTAAATGTGAGTGCTATAGACTAATCCACCAGATGATTTAACGGCAAACACAGTTTCATAGTTTGAAATCATGGAAGGTTGGATTGATCACGGTCAGTTGGTGATCATACAGTAAATGAACAATGTGTAATCCATGATATCTAAATACACATACATAAATACACAATACTAAATAAACATGAAATTGTGAATAGAATTTTATTCTTTGTGGCCACAAAACACAACTCTGAATAATTTCACCGTGATCAATTGAAGGGGAAATTTGCCATGATTTATGTGGCTGGCCAATCAGTGCTGATGATATATGTAGTCAACTGAACCAATAACCCCCTCAGTGAGTGCTACATTGATGGCGCCAGTGCCATCATTTGCCATGTGCAGTGATATAGTCCATGTGGAAGAAGAACTACTGGCTGTTTCAGCTTGGAGCTTGAAGCTAACAATATAGCTACGTGTGAAAAATATATCACTGCAGGAATTAATTTGCATGGCAACAATGTGTTCGACTTTGACTTTTGATGAACTTTGATTAGCACCCACTTCGCCTGCTCAGTTAGTACAGGCTTCAGAAGTAAGCTGGTTTTGGTGATTTTCAGGAAAAGTTAATGTATTCAAGACATCTAAATTACATGTAACATGTTTCAATCAGGGCTGTCAAGAGCACTCAAGTTGAGTCCAAGACGTTTGGGGTATTGGTAAACGGTAAATGGAGCTGTACTTGTATCGTGCCTTTCTAGTCTTCCGACCACTCAAAGCGCTTTTACACTACGTGCCACATTCACCCTTTCACACACATTCACTCAGTGAGCCCATTGAACAGAAAACTAACATTCATACACGCTCACACACCGATGCACAGCATCAGGAGCAGGAGCAATTTGGGGTTCAGCATCTTGCTCAAGGATACTTCGACATGTGGAGCCGGGGATCAAACCCACAACCTTCCGATTAAGGAATGACCCGCTCTGCCTCTGAGCCACAGCCGCCCTTATTGAAATGTTGCATTGGTCTCAGAAAGCATTTTTCCTTTGAACAAACACTGGAAAAGGAGTGCCCGGAGATGACTCTTTTTATTATCAGAATCTGATCCAATCATATCCAGATCTATAGCTGACGTATATCCATATATCCATATACATCACATGTTGATGCCAGGTGTAAATGGAGCAAAAATGCATTTGGATAACATTTAGTGGGTTTACAGCATTTATTGGTCATATTTCTTGAAAAAAAGCTGTATAAAAGGAGTAAAAAGAATAATCCTTCATACATTCTTTACTACAGCTTTATTGTACGGGTTTACAACAGTAATAGTTAAGTGTTTACTGCCTACAACCCAGATTAGTCTATAGGAAAACGTGCAGAGAGAAAACAAAGCACAGTATATTCAAGTTTTTATAGGCAGTCAATGAAATGATGAGATGGAGGTGATGGAGAGAGAGAGAGAGCAGCAAAAAGCACAACAGAAGACTTGTCAGGCTAAGGCTGTAGAGGACAGGCAGACAGGTGTCACGCTGAGTTTAAAAGGTTGTTAGAGGGCAGGAAGGAGCTTGGGGGAAGGCGCTATTCAACTGAAGGGGAAGGGAGGGGGGGTCACCGAAAAAGGAGGGGTTGGCTAAGGTGAAAATGTGCTAGTGTGTGTGTGTGTGTGTGTGTGTGTGTGTGTGTGTGTGTGTGTGTGTGTGTGTGTGTGTGTGTGAGGGAGCAGGCAGAGTGGCAGAAGAGCACATCTGAGTGGCACTGTCACTGCTCATGAGTGTCACTGCCAGAGTGAGACTGGGATGGATGGAGAGAGACAGAGAGAGACAGGAGGACAAGGACACCAAAGACAGACAGAGCAGGGTGACAAAAGGCAGCACAGCATAGAGGATAGAAAAGAAAGAGAAAATGGAGAAAAACAAGCGCCTGAGTGTAAAGAGTGAATGATACAGGCAGTGGGAAAGAGAGGAAGAGGAGGGTAGAAAAATGTGTCATGACCGAACCCCCCCTCCTTTGTCCTCAGCTGGGCTGCATTTTCCTGATTTATCTCCAGCTGCGTCTGATTGGTGCACACAGTCTGCAGCCTGTCAGTTTGTCACGATGACATGTCAGTCTTTACGGCCTAGTTTTTGAGCTACCTGCATGACTTTTCTGCATGAACTTTCTTCTGAAAGTGTAACTAAAGCCCTAAATTCTGCTAGCTCCCTCCCTCCAAGCGTATTTATACAGCAGCGAGAATCCTAAAGGGCTTGGCCTTGTAGTTACAAAGCCTCCAGTTAGCTATGCTAGCGGCTCAAAAGGCTACTCTCCAATGTTTGCAGGGGAGTGTGAGGCTACATAGCAAAGTTGGGAGAGGTTTTGTAGAAGAGGGGTAATTAGTGATGAAAGCTGCCACAACATACGCTATCTGCCTCTGATCAGCTAATAGCAAACCCCCAAAGCACTTCTTTATGCTAAAAACCTATGTATATCAATATTTAGTAGAAGTAGTAGTAGTATAGTTGATTGATTCAGGTCCAAATCTGGACATTTAAGTATTTTAATTCTATATATTAATTCTTGCAACTGCCCTCTCCTGGTTGAAACCCGGCTATTGCAAATTACATGTGAATGAAATGGCTGTGAATGTGCTTCTAGCGACTGTCGAAGCTCCAGCAGACTCTCTGTGATTCTCTGTGTGGACCATTGACAGTACATATAATGGACAGAGCTTACGGGTCTGTGAAGTGAAGCCAATGTGGAAGTGTATTAAACCTGCATTCTATGTAATGGCCAACAGGGGGCAGCTTCGTTGGCTGCAATAAAACCAGATACCATGCAGTGTTATGGAGAAATGTAAGATTAAATTTGAATTGAAGGGTCATTCTCAGTGAGTCTGTCCAGCTCAACGCACCAAACTCAGATCAAACTGTCAAACTAGTCAGTGCTGATCAAATATGGATCCAGATTCTGCGTTGACTATTTCTCTCCTAAAACCGTTTCAGAAACATATTTGAGTGAACTGTTTAACTGGAATATGAGATTGTGGTCTGTGTGTTAGAATGAATAAAATCTAAATCTATAGAATTCTTAAGATTTGTAGGCTTTATAGCTTTCTTAAACATATCATCTACTATCATCATCTATTCTAAACTGAATGTAATGACCACACAGACGGTGTGTGTGTGTGTGTGTGTGTGTGTGTGTGTGTGTGTGTGTGTGTGTGTGTGTGTGTGTGTGTGTGTGTGTGTGTGTGTGTGTGTGTGGGTGTGTGTGTGTTTTCTGCTTACGTTGGCACTGGGTTGCCCTTGGCCTCACACTCAATGATGATATTATCTCTGGGGTCGACAATGTAGTCCTTCACTGACTGCTTCACTATGGTGGGGGGCTGCTTCACTGTGGGAGGAGAGAGACAGACATATTTTATTTCAAAGATTGAAAAGATAATCCCACCAACATTATTAGTGACAGGTAAATATTGAATATCATATGTATTTTACACACAAATATTATCCAGCTACACTTATGAATGGCCAAAAACAAAGCAATTTCTTCCACTTACAGTCAACTTTATTATATGTCATTTTTATGCCCATTTTAGCAAACACTGCAATCAGTGATCCTTGAGCCCATGCAAGAATACTGCTTGGCTAAATACTCACAGGTAATAACAATTAAAGAAAAAGAGTTTATTACATCTTGGATTTATTTGGCATTTGGCTCTATCAGTTGTGATAACCTAATAATAATACTAATAATTGCTTAGAGCTTTACTTTAAGTATAGTGTTCTTATAACTTAAATAAATCCAATGCTGTGTTAAGCTGATATCTGAAGGCAGATACTAATATGAGTTAAAACTGATCACTGAAAATGATCATTAACATTTAGGGTTGCAGCAGTATACCAACCATGGTATACTCTGGTATAAAGATTGACAGTTATCATACCATGTACATTTGCTCATGTAATAAATTGAATTCTACTGTTTTAGTGTTCAATACAAAATATAGGACATAATATTTTGTGAAATTATAATAAAGTAATATAATATAAATATAATAAACTCTTTACCTCATACATCAGTCCAAACCGGCCTTACATTCAGATAAAATAAATAACTAGAACTTAGTTTCCTCCCCAGCTGTGTTCAGTCTACTATGCATATTTAATGGCTCACTTAAGACGAACCCCTCAACGGTAAAGACACACCACGCGGCCAACATTTCTCTGCCCTTTTGCATTTCTAGCTCACTGACCCCTGCGGGGCTTTGAATCTGTACACAAGTGTACACACACACTCATACATACTGTACACACAACACGAGATAACAAGCACTTCAGAGCGCCAGCCGGCTGCTAGATTAAAGGAGGAGCTCGATGCTCTAAAAGAAAGCTATGTGACTAGACTAACCGAGAGGACAGAGATGAGAGAACAGCTCCCCTCTGAACTGAACCAGCTAATCTCATCCACTACTGAAAAAGGGCCATATTACATATATTCTTCATGTTGCTATGGCAACCATAAGAGTATTTTATAATATGCTAAAGCCAGGCTATGGGAGATAATTGGTATGGAAATTACTCCTCAACATAGCAGCTTATACTGCATCCTCCAAGACCCACATTCTTTAAACCACCTCTGAGTTAGGAATGCTATATTGCTTTATTTAATGCTGTTATGTGTTGTCTTTTTCTTACAATATGTTGGAAAATACTCACTGACAAATGTTGAATGTGTTCCCTAAATCAAACTGGTCAGCAAATGTTTCCTAAATCTATTGTACAAATGTGTTTTGCCTGTGCAGCAAGAGGAGAGACAATCTGTAAATACCAGTTGTTTAGTCCATAATGTGCACTCTTTTTCATGGTCAAATTAGTGCTACTGCAGCGCTATAAGCTACAAGCTGTGCAATGAGTTGATAGGAGAGGAACATTAGCAGTGACATGTTAAAAAAAAAACACTTACAGTCTTGCAGGATCTTTGCTGTTAGTCCAACGTATAGCCAACAAGAGACAGGGACAAGGATGGAGAAATTGTAATGTGATTGTTAATCATATTAGAGACAGATCAATATGTATAGTACTATGTTACAACTTTGCATTTATGTTATGTTATAGCTCAGTGGTTCCAAACTGTTGGGGTTCAACTTAAATGACATTAGCAAGGTTAGGGTTAGGGCTTTTATTTAGTTTGTCTGTCTTACTGGAGAGTAGCAGTGCTACCACCACTGACAGTATATATAATGGACAGAGCTTCAAGGTCTGTAAAGTCAAGCTGACATGGAAGTGTCTTAAACATACATTCTTTCTAATAGCCAGCAGGGGAGTGGCACCATGGGTTGCAAAAAGAAGTCTGATAGTATTGAGTCTTATGGAGAAATTAGGCTACTTCTGACCTATAAGCTCAGTAAACAGTTTCCTAATGAGTTTATAGTCTCAATCTCTAGTTTCAAGTCTTTTTCCACACAGCATGATGTTCATTTAGTAAATGATGGTCCCATTTACAGTAAAATAGACCATTAATTAAGCAAGTCATTCTCAGTGGGTCCGTCGACCACACGATAGGTTCCCACTCCTAAATCAAAATACTGCAGCTTTTTATAGTACCTCACTTGACTTCGACAGTCCATAGATGACTTTAGAGTAATATCAACAGCGTCATATTTTGAAGTGGAACACAAAAAGAAAAAACTGTATGAAAGCAGTGAAGTAGTAGCTTGGTTTGAAACCCAGCTTGAAAACCACTATTCTTTTTATCACTTGCTGTACTACTGCTGTACTGCAATTATTGTTTTAGTAGCTTTTAATTGCATTTAGTCTGAACAAGCCTAAATTAGATGTAACTGTGATTGCAATGCTTCTATTGTTTGTTTAATGTTGTTTTAACCCTTGGTTGTGTTCCCTTGCTGCAGTGGTTCCTATCTTGAGTTTTAAACCCCAGCTGTACTTTCAGTTATTTCAGCTGTCATAGTGTGGAATCAGATTGAAGAGGCAGCAAAAAGGTTTGTATTCAGTGACAGGCAGAACGGGTGGATGGAGATAATGTGGGTGTTAAGTTGGTCTGCAGTATGTGTGGACTGGGATCTGAACCCAAAGGCTACCAGTTAAGAACCACTGTTACAGCAATTGTTATAGAGCTTATGCAATAAAATGTCTAAATTAGTTGTTATACAAATGGCTATAGATTAAGACTATAGCATGAAACAGGGAAACGATGACTGAGGACTCACCTGTAAGGAGTTCCCGTACCGGCAAAGGATGTGCAGTGAGGAAGACAAAGATAACACACAGTGAGGCTTCAGATTGCACATCAAAGATGTTACACAGGGAATTTCAATTGCAAATAAGTGTAGTAACATTACTGCTTTAAAACAAAAGCACAAAAAAGATACAAGACTAATTAAAGCCGCAAGTGGCAATGAACAGGCCCTCACACTCCAATCAGATCAAAATTGCCACACAGTTTTAATTGTTACGGTGTTTACTGACCAAATTTGAAGTCAAGCTGATAAATTCCCTAGGAGATGTTTGTTAAAATACAAAGCAAAAAATCGCCAGAAATGACCACGAAATCCATAATGGCCAACTTCCTGTTGGGTTTGGAGTATGGCTCCAAGAGGCTTTTTTGCTTGTCTGAGCATGATACACATATGTACCAATTTTTGTACATGTCGGTCATACACGTCTTGGGGGCTGATTCGGAGGGGCGTGGCTTAGTCATGTTTTGTGCAATGTTTCGTGAGCTGTTGAGCATGGGAAAGCGCCAAAACCATTTGATTAAAGGTGTAGAAAAATAATAATGGCGAATTCCTACAATCCTAAAAAACTAGTGCTGATGAGTTTAGCCTTTTCTGGATGGACTGCTGCTTGCAAGGAGTCAGTTCCTTCTACTCAGTAGTAGTAGCAATAATCAGTTTAGTCCATTTATTCAGTGTGTCAGAAAATACTTTTAGTCATATGTTTGCGATAGACATGATTACAGTTGCTAATCTATTCTGTGGCCCGTCCTCGCCCAGGTCTCCCTGGCGGAAAGGACAAGCGATTGAACCCTCCTCTGTTCTTTAGACCTTCCGAAGGTTTCTTTCATTTTGGGGGGACGCTGAATGTTGTACAGATTGTAAAGCCCCCAGAGGCAAATTGGGATTTTGGGGTATATAAATAAAGTTTGACTTGATTTGACAACAGTATAACTCTATTTTATGTTTATCCAGTGATTTTGTAATGCATGGGGGTATGATTAGACTGGCTTTCATTGTTTTAAATTACAATCTGGAGTAAAGTGTTGACTGACAACAACAGCCTGATAAAAAGACAGGGATCTGATAATAAAGTGTGTAAGGTGATGTAATGTTTTTAGGTGACTGTAAGTGAGTTTGATGTAAAGCAACACTAATGAGATATTATTCAACTGGAGCACAATTTAATGAGATTTTAAAAGAACTACTGGACCTTTCTTAGACATAGACATTTTGCAGTCATATGGACTGATTTAAACCCCCTCCCCACTGACACACAGGAACACACACCCAGTGATGAAGCAACCATGTGTCAGGAGCATGACCTTGTGTTTGCGTGACAGTTACACATGAGCCTTAATATAGTGTTACACACACTTAATAAGTGTGTGCACATGTATGTGTGCTTACATTTATGCTGCTATTATGTGTGTGCATATGACGACTGTGTCTTGTCGGCTACGACTCCACAGACCTATTTACTAAATTTAAAAAGTATTCATCATATGAGAGATAGAGTGTGTGTGAGTGTGTGAACGTGTGTGTCCGTAGGGATGTGCAGAAAGCACTCAATCAATAAAGGTCAAGAGTGCAGTTCCCTGTGAAGCAGATAAGGAGACATAAGGAAAAGAGGGGGATGGGGCTTCTGTTCACTGAATGAAACCATAAACACAATGTGAAGCATGTGGTGCCTTAGTTAGCTCTGACAAAAAGCTACAAGGGAAGAGTCATTAGGGGTTTAACATGTCGTATAGCAGCAATTCAAAAATGTGATGACGTAAAAACTGAGAAATCTATTTAATCAACTAAATCTGGTCGGTACACCTACCAAAAGTACACTGGTGGCCTTTTTGATATACATTTAATGGCTAATTTGCAATTAAAAGACAAACATGAATACTGGTCTTTGGACTGTGTACATTGAGAGCTACTGAAATACCAAAATTAGGCCAAATAAGTAAAAAGTTGACCAGATTCTGTTTCTGCTGCTTGAAAATGTTCAAAACCAGTCTCTGTGATGAATTTTTGAAAAACGTTAGTCCACCCAAGTGTTGAACATTTGGTAAGGGGGATCTCTGCAAAATCTACATCAACAGATAGTAAGCTATTTACATCTGAAAGGTAGCTAATGTTAGCAAAATGCTAGCTAACTCATTTAAGGGTTTATGTGATTTTCATTTTGCTCCAAAGTCTAAAAGAACCACATAACAAGGAACAAAGGAATTATTCAACTTAAACACAGTGTGTTTGCACATTTGTCTGGAAAGGTTGTATTTATTCAGATTTTTACATGCAATATCATACATCGAATTATGCAGCAAACCCTATACGGTGTATCGGGACATTAAAATCCCTGCCTGTCGGTTCATCACAGTATGGTGAATACATTAAGGAGAGGTCACTGGGTTATAAGAGTATTATCCAAATGGTTTCTGTTAGGCAGGGTGTGTGCATGTGCACGTGTACCGGATCAATAGAGCATCATAAGTCCAGGGTTGAAAGGTCAGACTTATAAAAAAAACAGAGGGAGAGATGGTGCCATAGGGGGAAGACAAATAGAAGACAGAGCAGCTGACAGCTGACTGCTGGGAGTGTGTGTGTGTGTGTGCGTGTGGGTGCAGTTGTGTATGGAACATATAAGACAGGTGTCCTTGGGGCTCTCTCAGTATCAAATAATATTTCATTGTACAATAGTGAAACATTCATCTTAGCTGTGAAAAAAGAGTTTGTTTGTGTGTGTGTGTGTGTGTGTGTGTGTGTGTGTGTGTGTGTGTGTGTGTGTGTGTGTTAGCGAGGGTAAGAAAAAAAGAAAGAAAATGCATGACTTCTCCCTTTCTCCTTTGTGCTTTTGTTCCCAAATCCCTCAGGAATCCATTTAACAGCAGAATCCAGTTCTACTTGTCATAATGGAAAGGTATGAGAATGTGTGTGTGTGTGTGTGTGTGTGTGTGTGTGTGTGTGTGTGTGTGTGTGTGTGTGTGTGTTGGGAGTATATCTATATAATATATTAATGCGTGCATGTTAGAATCAATGAAGACCTATCATCTTTGAAGGGACTCACTATCACCCAGGGATTTAAAGCAGTCTATTCTCATGATAATCAAATGTTAATGTAATCCTCCTGACACACTCTTCTGGTTTCATATTTTACAAATGAATGCTAAAATGCCTTTAAACCTGTGCTTTAACTCACCGTTGAAGTTCCCCTGAATCATAAACTGCACTTCTATAGAGTTGGGGGACGTGAAAAAACAATGGGCATTTTTCCCACTTCACTGTAAGCTCACAATAGCACCAAAAACATGGCCTAATGGACCTTCTGCAAATGTGTTACTTGCGATAAGTTCTAAAATGATCTGCCCTTTACCAAAAGGCTAGAAGCAACGATTTTTAATTTGAAGAGGCGAACTAGCTCTGTGTCAGCAGTATACAGTTTAATGCAGGGATCTCAAACTGCTGGCCTGGGGGACATTTCTGGCCCTGCATCCCCCTACCTGATGTTATTTTTTTTCATATCAATTTAAATGACCCCTTCATATACAATTAAAATGGCAAAGGTAAAAGGTTCCCACAAATGCTGTGAACAACAACAATGAATTAGTGATGTGATGAAATAAAAATGTACATAAACTGTTGTTTGCTTTTTGTTTTGTTAAATATGATGTAAGGAAATGTTTTTGGAATGTGGTTTTTTGGAGTACTTGAACATGGCCCTCCTATCAGATGACAATACCAGCAGAGGCCCCAAGCCAATTTGAAAAGTTTGTGAGCTAAAAATAGCTAAACTAGACCAAAAACTAGATTTCCACTGTTATTCCATACATGACGATATTCCACATTTGATAAGATTCCTGAAAACAGCATATTCAGTTTAGATATTCCTAATTCCAATCACAATATATCACAATGTCAACCTTTTCAAGATGGTGGCTGAATGAATGAAAGAGGCAGGCTGTGTTTACGAGGAGGAAAACTTTGAGCCATTTTTCCTCTTTGTGTGAAAAGAGGATTTTTTCAAGCAGCTCCATCTGTTCCACTTTTACCACAGAGCAACATGAGGAAATACCTCTGTAGGATGTCCAGTACGTCATTAACAGTTTATCGGAGTATGCACAGCTGCATGGAAACAGGAATTTTAGTGGAAAATGTATTTTCATTACCCATGTAAACTGCTTAGTATGAATATTGTCTGAAAAACTGAAATATTTCGTGCTTGTAAAAGTAGTGAATGACAGAACATAGTAAATATCTAATAACACTGGTACTACCATCCTTATTTGTCCAAAGAGTTGTTTTCCAGACAGGAAGTCAATAGGATAGTAGCAATCCTAGCAGCACTGATCATCCAACCTATCTGAGCCGTTGATCTCAGCCATCTTCTTTTAACTTTTAACCAAATTAACTGACACAGCTTTTGCTATGGTTATTGTATCATCACCTACGGTAACATACTGTGTTCAATTATTGCTGAGTGACTTACGGTCTTGTGGAACTTCGATGGGTGCTGCTTCGCGCCATAGTAGCAGCATTAACACGAGAGCCAGGACCGCATGCCCGTCCTGCCCCAACATCTCTCCCCCTCCGATTGGCCGGCCTCGCCACTCACCTCTCCTGATTGGCTAGATGGTTCTCCTGACAGCCGCAGCGAGGACCTGTGAGCACAGACAGAGAGACAGATGGTTAGGATGAAGGCAGAGTAGTAGACCGTACAGTATATGTACAGTATAAACTGTTTGCATGTGAGGATGAGCGTGTAGCTGTGTATGTATTCTGGCACGAGAGAGAGAGAGAGAGAGAGAGAGAGAGTGTGTGTGTCTGTGTGTCGACTCTGGCCTACATTCACAGCTGAGTCTCTGTGTGGCTCCCTAGAGAGAGCAGCCTAGAAACAAAGCCAAGGAGAAGCTCTGTGGCACTGATTCTTAAAGTGGGATCAGGCTGCTTCACAGCAGCAGAAAGTGGAGTGGTTCTCAACCAACCATGGACAACACAATCCTGGCAAAACCTGCGATGCTGTTGCAGAAAAGCCAACCAAAAAAAAAGTACGCTTGGTTTGATGCCTCCTGTCTGACTTTAAACACTAAGAAATCAGAATCCCTTGATGTTAGAATCAAAGGCGAGCTCACTGAACAAGTAACAGAGAAAGTATTTAGGGATACTTTTTTCAGTTCAATTTTAAAAGGCTAAAATTCTCTCATTTGGCCAGCTTCTACTGGGTGAAATGATGTGACATTAAAATATTTCCATTTTTTTCTGTAGACCTCCTGGAACCCCTTAAAGGACCCCTGGGGGTACACAGGTTAAGAAGCACTAGTTTAAATGATCTGCCCATGTGGCACCCTACTAGCTCACCTGGGAGAGCTGGCGCACCATGTTCCAAAGCTAAGGCGTTTCTGCAGCAGCCATGGGTTTGACTTTGACCTGTGGCCCTTTGCTGCTTGTCATCCCTTCTCTCTCCCCCCTTTCCTGTCACTCTACATCTCTATCAATTAAAGACAATGAAAGCCCCTAACTATTACTCAAGCAGGAAAATCTTAAGTTGGGATAGCCCTGTGGGAAATACTTCTAATTTACCTCTTATCATCTCACAATGGAGACAAAGTCTCAAGACATTTTGCCTCACAGGTCTCATCTCTACGAAAATTAACAAACTGAATTTACTCATTTTAGATGTTCAATTCTTGGAGTCAATATTTTGTTTTCAAATGCAAAAGGAAACATGTAATTAAACAAAAGAAAATATTACCAAATGCAGTAAACATCAATGTTTTTCCATCATTTTGTCGAATACTTGATATTGTCATTTACTGATTTCAAGAGGATGGTGTTATATTTGTCTCAATATTACTTTATTTGCAGGAGACAATATGCATACTTTTCTACCCTCTACACTAAAATCTACTTCCTGCCACACAACCAGCCAGCACACATGCCAAAGATTTCTCATTTACTCCCCACCACCTCCACATGACAGCCAGGTCTGTGCACTGGCAACCATACCAGGACCACCTGCCCACTGTTAATCCCTGTCCCCCATGCTGCCATCCCCCACCAGGATCAATCCTTCACTCTGCTTCAGATCACACCAGAGCTCAAAGCTATGACAACCGGATAAATTAACAAAATATCAGGTGGGAGTGTGGGGGTGTATGTTTACCATAAGGCTGCCATTTCAAATCTCTAGAAAAATATAAAGGCAAAATGAGGGTGGGGACATAAATAACACACATTATTGTTGAGGTACTGAGGAGGACTTTTAGTGCACTAGAGCCAATCAGTCAACTCTTATTGCGTCAAATATATGAATAAAAGAAATTTGCCAATGCATTACCATATCCATATAGTGAAAACCAAGCAGATTATTTGATAAAGATATTTTGGGTTGGTGTCAACTATCTTTCTCGGCTTGTTTTTTTCTTTTGGGTACAGTGGATTTTTGCAAATGTCATTAGGAGCACTAGGAGGAGCCAAAGGAATTCAGGGGTTTTGCTGCTACAGACTTACTTTGTCTGTCGTGAACAGTGGCTTATGGTGACTACTGTTTGCAAACGTTACCAAACTTTAGATGAAGCTTTGTTTTAAAGAGTCTGTTTGCCCTCGTTTCCACTGCAATTTGGCCCTAAGTTTTAGCATTTACCATTTTTATTCTATTTTTGGCTTTTTAACATCTGGCCATAAAGATAAAATCTTTGCCTTCTAACTTAACTGGCTCATTTAAACATTTGTTCTGTTTCTGTTGATCAAGCTGTCCAGCAAAAGTTACAGCAGTTCCCTTAAAAAGGAGAAACAAAGACACCCTTATTGTACCATGATCAGCATGAAACATGTCGGCACTGTGGAGTTCGATTAGGATCATTCTTACAGCACTATTTCCTGATGATCATACAAACAGTTTTGCTCAAAAATGGATCCGAATTGTTAAAAACCACACAGTTTAGGATCAGCCTTTATCTCTTTAAACTGCAATAACAGACTGGTCTCACAACAGAGAGAAACAACAGCTTTTTGGCCTGAGGGCAGTAGTCAGATTTCACCCAAAAAACACCTACCACACACACACGCGCACGCACACACACACACACACACACACACACACACACACACACACACACACACACACACATATTTATGCATAAACCATCTGGTGGTATGTCAATTCAACACTATTCAACTAAATAGCTAATCTGCCCCTGGGGAGCTAATACCCCAGCATTGGCTGGCATGAGGTGCCAATCTCTCTCTCTCTCTCTCTGTCTCTCTCACACACACACCCACACACACACACACACACACACACACACACACACACACACACACACACACAACATGCATGGATGCAGATGCACAGGGAGGTACGGTCACACACACACACACACACACACACACATAAAAGCACATATATCTCTGTAGCTCAGTTGTAACCCAACCAGTATCACCCCATCTCTGTTAATTACTATAACACACATACACACACACACACACACACCCATACACACACCAGAGAGGAACAGAAGAGGGAAGGGATTAGGAAAAGAGCATGGCACACAGTCCAATATGAGTCTTAAGACAGAAATCTGCTTTGAATTGCCGATCTACTCCCACCATAAAAGTCAAGGAGAGAGAAAATCAAGATAAAGAGGAAAGTAGTAGAGAGACATGGACAGAGAAGAGAGAGAGTGGCAGTGAAAGCACTGAAATAGGTCAGGGTTTCTCTACACACTTCAGTGCATTATAAATGATAGCACACTAGTGACACGCTGAGACTGAGTGCATGTACATGTGAGTAAAACGGTCAGTGAACGCCAGATACTACATACTACTCATTACCTCACGTAGCAGTGGAAAGGAAAAGCTACACTGCAGGCTGCAAAAACCTGGGGCCCATTTTACAAACCTTATTCTTACAGTCACAAATGTTGTTGAATCAGTGGTCAAAGGGAGGAACTACTAACATTCTTCTAGCACGGAGCAATCAGGCACCTGGTTTGAGATGGACACAGGTCAACCATTTTTCTTTCACTATTAGATAGAAAACAACTGTCTGGATAAAGGACTTAAAGGTATTGCAGATGAGGTAATTTCAGATATATATAGTATCACCAAAATCTTTGAATCTCCTCACACTCCCACAAGGGGTGACTGCAATTTCTAATGTTATGTCATATATGAGTGGAACATAACATTGGAACCATGTTGTAAAAAATACATCCCGATTCAACAGCAATGTAGAACCTGACTATCATCTATTTGAGACTATGAAACTTGCGGTTTTGTATTAAATTAACATTTGGATAAAGCAAGGCTAAGGTCTAGACTGTAGATAACCACACCAAGTCGGTTTGGAAGTTGATATAATGCTAATGCTAGCTCAATATTGAATACTATACTTTTAGCTGTAGTGTCTCATTTGGACTTTTAACAGCTCTTCTCATTTTGTCATCATACCCAAAGGGTTCAAAGCACAGCTGTCAAGACTACAGCTGTTCCGATACAGGTATCAGTAGAGTCTAAAATGTGGAATCACGTATTGGTGAGTACATGTGTCTATGCACCGGTCCGATACCAAGCCATTTATTAGCCCTGAAACAGTACCGTGCTACTTCCCAGCATTGTCCAAGTTCAGGTATTTGGATTGGTATTGGGAAGGATAAAATGGCATTGTAACATCTCAAATTAAAAATAATAAAGCTGATTTCAAGCAATTTGCTGTGGATTTGAGGGGATTTGTGGGAGTTGTGGGACAGATGTGCAAATGTACATAGCAGGTGGGCCAAGGATTGTTGATTAACTGACTATGACAGACGTTTTAATTCTGAGGTTTATGCATTACACAGAGAAAGACGAGGTCAAGGTCCAAAGCTGGCAGCACACTTTCTGGCATAAAGGGCGTAAATATTGATTTACACACAGATCCATACGTAGATTGAGGCTGCCCCTTACAAGGAGTTTGCAATCTCCCCTCCTACTTATTGAACCCTATCGAATTTTTTGTTAGATTAGGTGATTATGGTGCCTCAGATTCCTGCCGTTACTTGGCCATGAGACATATCAGACTTGGCATCCAAAGCAATCACAAATTAATATATGATCAACTATTAAATTTACTGCCACCTATTTTGATTACCAATTATTCGCAGACATCTGAGGACGTCACTTTGGGCTTTGGGAAACACTGATCAACGTTTTTCACAATTTTCTGACATTTTATGGACAGAACTAATCAATTCATCATGAAAATGTTCAACAGATTTATCAAAATGAAACTAGTTGCATCCCTAAAGAAAAGGCAAACTCTTGCATCCTGCTCCTTCTTGAAAGGCATCCTAGAATCAGTAATAACTTACTATGGCAAACTACATACAATAAAATGACAATTTGTCATAATGTCTCTTTTCATTCCTGATACCCCATGTTTGATAAATGTGCCGTTATCGGGCTGATATCAGCCAGGCATTAGACCTCACGAGTAGGTGGATGGTGGAAGTGGCTCTCAACTCCAAGTGTACTGAAGGAGACGCATGGTTGTCTACACTTTCCTTAGGCCAAAGACCATGTACCGTAATATAAAATCAGTTTAAATTAGGATTGACACGTATTTTTACTCTGGCGCTAGCTGACATTGTTTCAAGGACCCAGTCACAGGGCAACAGCAGAACAACATTTTGTCCTGGCTTGGTCTCAGTCACGAAGAACTGCAGGGTAGGAATTATACCAGGGCCAATGCCGTTGATGCCCTGCCGTGTGGCCGTAATGCCCCTTCTAAAATGGACTAACCACACAGTCAGTTTGGCATTGCCCTGCTTTGAACTGGCCATCGTGCCCTTGAAGTTCCAGATTTTCCTCATTTAAAACTGCATTCTACATACCCAGCAAATAACCAAATGCATGTTTCCCAGTGTCTGTCATCACGCTGGACATGGTAAATGGACTGTATATATATAGCACCTCGTCTTCCAACCACTTAAAGCACTGTACACAACATGCCACATTCATTGTGATGACAACAAAGGCCATCACAAACAGAAAGTAACGGACTCACATACATTCAGGAGCTGGGGATTAACTGCCAACCTTCTGATGAGTGGATGACCCACTCTACCACCTGAGCCATAGCCACCAGTACATCAACAGTAGCGCAATTTCTCCCACAGATATTTTTAGAACCACAGATGGTTCAGAAAGTTGATGTTGTGAGGAACTTTGATGTAACGTTAACAGAAGGGTAATTATGTTACTTGAGTTCTGCATTCTAAACCTTACTAAGATATGTAAGCATTATCAGTAAAATGTATTTAAAAGTATGAAAAATAAAATGGGTCATTGTGCAGTACAATCATCACTGGTAGTTTTTTACTATTATATATGAGGTTTTTGTATTAATATTACTGCTCCATTAATAAGTATGTTGCATTTTCCTGCTGTAGGTGTTTAGGATTGAGCTAATTTTTTTATATATGCTATTGGGTAGTTTTGGCCTTGGTGCCCTAATAAATTTGGATTTATCAAAGCCAAAAGTGGCCTTGTCTGGAACTGGTGCAGCCCTGGTTATGGCAGCAGCTCAGAGAAATGAAGAGTCAGTGTGTACGGTTTTACAGGGTAGTCTGGGGGACACAAACATTCATGCACAAGTCCTACACCAAACTGGCAGGTTTGGTTTGCTATTGTGTGGTGCTCCACTGGAAGATGCTTGACATTTCTAGTTGACCATAGTTTGGTTTACACATCCTGAGACACACAAACACACACACACAAACACAACCAGGTCAGAGTTACCTTAGTTTAGCCTTAACCCCACAACTTGAGGCACACATTATCATCACACACACAAACACACGCTGAGTACTTCTCCTAACATCACATTAATGGGTGCGTCATAGAAGCCATTATTCCATCCAGCCTGCTACAGGCTCCAACAGAAGGTTCTATTTCTAAAATGAACATGTTAATTTGCATTACATGAATACAGTATTGTGTATCAGTAGGCACTGCTTAGTGACCTTCCATGAGTTATGCCAGAAGCATGCTCAGAGTGGAAATCATGACACAGAAAGATAAAAATGTTAACCTACTTCTGGAAACCGCAAGGAATTAGCATAAATTTGCTAAATGAGACTGAAGAAATTCAATATTATATGACTTCTTCCATTATTTACGATAAGATGGTGATTTCTATAAGACCTCTGTAATTACATATATTTTTATCATAAACAATTTAGTACAGTAGAAGTCTTGGAGTGAATTACATTTCTCAGTCTTGCCAGACCAAATGTAGAATGTATCAATTTATCTCGGACTCATTTTCTTCTCATAGCCCTCACAGGTTTTATATTTCTTAAGAGTGGCTAGTTAAAATGCACGAGCTACAAAATTCCTCTTCGTCAAATGAGATGGGAAGGCAAGCATGATTAGCATGACTGAGGCTTGATTATTACAGCTTTAAACACAAGGCCTAATCAGCTGTGGAAGGTTTTCCTTTTGGCCGCATTTTAGGATTATTTTCCTGGTTTCAGAAACTTGCAAGGAATTAAGCATTTATCACTGGTTAGATTTGGACAACATGGATCTGCTCTTCGAGGGAGCTCTTTTACAGTATATCACATACTGCAGACATTACAGTACAAACCAAAAAAGTAGAATTTCTTCAACACAGCTGTACAGATGGGTCATTTATTGTCTTATCTTTTCATTTAACCATGGGCAAATACACATTCAGCACATTGTTGTGCTTCCTCTTTGTTCATGCAAAGAGAGCATTCATATTCAATTATGCCCATCCCTAACCGAGTACACACAGTCACAAAGTCTTTGTACCAACCGCCACTATTCCATTGTTCCCAGCACTGGGAGATTCTATTAGAGTCATTTTGGATGTTGCTGAGTGTTAATGGTGCTCTTCTGGGACAAACACGGTGGGGACAGGACTGAGGAGGTAAAATGGCACTGTTATTCATGTAGATTTTGAGTGTGCATTTCAGTGTGTATATGTAGTGTGTAAACATGTCCCCCAAAACAGAAAAATCCCTAATTTCACACTTGAGTCCCATTTAATGATTTTGTGGGTAATTGTGTGTGTAGAGTACATATGAACTCTAATGCTCATGCTTAAAACGCTGTATCTTTGAGTGTGCAGATCCTCATCCTTGTTCTGCTGTTTATTAGGTAACCTCCAGCTTTGGTAATTCTGTGTCATGAATGCAGCTTTCAACTCTCAACAACAGTAAACGTGATACATCAGAGAGGAAAAAAAGCATACTTTTCCATTGGTAATGCGAAAGGAGTCAATTGGTGTTTTTTAGTGGCTTTACCCTACGTTTAAAAAACCTGCATACATACATACATACATACATAAATACATGTTCTAATTTTGTTGTAAAAGGGTATTTTATAAAATGTCAACACAGAGGCTCTATAGACATCCACAAAATCAGCAGTCTTCACGCAGATGATTATGATTATTAGATGATTATTCCTACAGTACAGGGCTATTAGCTTTGCACAGAAATAGTTGGTAGAAATGTCCTTCAGAGTACTTTTTACTTTCATACTTTAAGGTACATTTTGGAGCCTGTAGTTTTCAGTTTTACTTTAGTAAAGAAGCTGAAACCGTACTTTTACTTTTACCAGAGTTTTTTTAAATATATTATATATTTTTGTATGTACTACTTGAGTAAAGACTGCTGGTACTTTTGCCAGCCACCTCTGGTCAGTATAATTGGCACAATGAATAGTTCTTTAGTGGTATTGATTTAAAGCCAAGATTCCCACTGTTAGCTACACCATTTTTGGTTTTCTCTCTATATCTGTTATGAAGCATTCACGTGCTGGTGGGAAATTTTGATTGTGGAACTGAGGGCTGCAGTGTTTTTTCAGAAAATCATTCATGGAGGATAACAGTGAACAGTAAACTAGCTGAAGGTTGCAAATTTCAACAAAAGTGTTAGTGGAGGGACTCATAATTAACAATGAATCTATATTTTCTTCACCTTTTTTCTCCACTGCTTAATGAATTCTACAATGCATGTATTACCTTACCCACTCCTCCTACATTATATATCCACTGCATATGCAGTGAATGTAGGTCATACAAATGTGGAAAAGGTAGGCGGATAAGAAATGATTTGGGGTGGATTTTTTGAATCCCTCTTAGAGTTCTTTTTTTACAACCAAAATGTCTCTATACTGAATATTTCCAGAAGGCAATCATAGTCTGTAAAGATTCAAATTATTTTCCCTCTTGCTGAAAATGCTTGTTCTAAATCCAAACCCTGCACATTTCTCCTGACAAATCTTTTTTTTTAGCTCTTTGAGAAAGCTGGAGGCATTAACACATTATAACTGCCCCCTCAACTATTTTTTTGACCTCCATATATACCCTCAGCACAGCATCACCAATTCTGTTCTACAAACACCCCAAAAATAGCCCTCCACCCATCACACACAATTACCTTCAGCAACACAACATACACACATAAATAAATAGTGTAGGTACAAGAAAGCCAGCAGTCAAAGTAGATCACAAACTAGCAACACACTATTTCACCAAACATTAGCATCAGATAAAGCCTCTTCTAACTTGTAATACAAAAAAGAATTGTCTTAATGTAAATAATCAACTGGGGAAGTTCAGTGGTGATATCTATTAGTTAAATTTGTACACTATTCACCTGTAGTGTCTCTGTAGTGTCTCTAACAGAAAGACTGACTTACGTTCAATGATGCTGACACTTAACTGCTGGATGACCACCCACTCTGTCGTGACCACTTAGAAGACCTGATGAGACAAACAGAAAAAATTAACAATATTATAACCTCTTCAATCCTGTTGTGCAAACAAATAACATACAGTTTATCAATCAGATTAAAGTCAAAGCTCCACAGATGAATGAGTGTCTGCTATTATATTATAATAAGCAATATCTGTGATCATACTGAATCAGAGGGTATGGGTCACTCTGCCTGGCCCCCCTGACAGGCAATGATGTAATACTGATTAGATCTACAGCTACACAAGCTCAAGTTTTTGTGCGGAGAGAGACTGTTTGCAATAATATAAGTCTGAAGAGAAGACTGCTCATTAGTCTTTGCCAGTCTGAGCGCAGGAAGAAGTGGAAGATACAGTACAGCAGACAGCACACATACACACATACACACACACACACACACACACACACACACACACACACACACACACACGCCTCAGGACTGTCTGCAGCAGTGTTGTTTCTTCAACTGTGTGTTTTCGCTTTCAAAGAGCACGTCTGTACGCCAGCTGCTGCCCTTAGGATCGCAGGCTGCTCTTTCCCGCTTTCTTTTTGTCCGTCTTGTCCGTGTTGCTGCTGCTGCACACACTCACACAGAAACACACACCAACATACAGTCTGCCTGGAGGTCTGTGGAAAAGCCTCTGTGGGAATATAAAACACACACTCTAGTACAGTTTGTGCTACAGTGACAAAAATGTTTCAGTCAATACAGTAAAACCGTCAGTTACTGTGCAAACTGTACCTTTACACACACACACACACACACACACACACACACACACACACACACATACACACACACACTCAGCTGCAACAAAATTATACAAGTCCATTTCCAGCTAGGGCTGCTTCTAATGATCCTTTTCACAATTAATTGATGAGCTGTTTGTTCCCAAAAATGTCAGAGTCAGATATTGAGTCATATGGAGAAACACTATTTATTAGCTCAGTAAACAGTTTCCTAATGGGTTTATGGTCTCAATCTCTAGTTTCAGTCTTCTTCCATACAGCATGATGTTCATTTAGTAAATGATGGTCCCATTTACAGTAAAATAGACCATAAAGCAGGGTATGATTTAGGGCGGGGCTACCTTGTGATTGTCAGTGAGTCTGTCCAGTTCAACGCACCAAACTCAGATCAAACTGTCAAACTAGGCAGTGCTGATCAGACATGGATCCAGATTCTGTTACTGTGTTGACTATTTCTAGTGTCCTGGTTTCTGTTTCGGGTCTTGGTGGGGCACAGAGACATCTGCCTACTCAGTTATTTTCAGGCTAGTAGTGCTGCTAAGCTTCTGTCTGATTTGGTTACATTTCTCAGCAACTATGTTTTCTCAGGCTAACACAAGTACACTGACTATGACAAGATGTTACTGAACAAGATGTTATGAGAATGTTCGCTGCGTGTATCCACTGGGGGTTATTTTGGGTCTATCTCATAAAACCTAATGTAATGAAGTGTGATGTGGTATGGGCTACACAGCAAATCAATAATTCAGAGTATGAGTTTCTTTTGTTGGGATTACTAAAATTTGCTGTTAAATTTGTCATTTGTATGTAAATGCATCTATCAATGTAGTTAGTTGCGTTATGAAAAGTATATTGGTGGTGGTTAAACACAAGCATTAAAATATCACTGTTCATAAGCTTTACGTCATCTTTAACTTGAGCTGATGACTAAAGAGTTCATCAAATATATGTTTGAGCAGTACAACCCTCTCTGATGACAGTATGGCACATATTGAGCATCTAGGGGAGAAATGTTTAACTGGGTTAAGTGCATTGCCAAAGGGCGCAGTGGTAGTATGCCCTACTTGAGGAGACTGTATGTGAATAAGGCTGCAGTGCTGTGTAATAATACTGACATGCTCCTGGACATCTTGTTCAGCAGCACCACCGTCTACTGAAGTTCTCACCCTGACCCAACTTCACCCTTACAACCTGAAAATGTATGTTTAGGCTGACTGGTTTAAGGTGAGGGTTGATTGTGAGGTTACTGACAATTAATTAGAGGAAGGACTGGGTAAGGCATGCAGTGGTTACGGTTAAAATTGCAATCCCCATTTACACCCTCAGCATAGTCCATGTTCTGTTTGTGGCCTGTGTACTTACGTTTGCAACCTTCAGGTAAGTAATGTCCAACGTCCTGAAACCAGTGTGTATGTGTGTATGAATCTGACTGGATGTGTTAGAGGGTTAAAAGAGTTCTCTGACATTTTGCTGTGTTACCCACAATCACACATTTATAGTAAAGACTTCACTGAATGTGTGAAGTGAATAAAGAAACGACTGATGTTGTTGATGCTCTTAATCAAACACACCACAGTGTAGCTCTCTCTGACCTGCTTTCAACAGCCTCATGGGACAATGAGGAGTGTGTGTGTGTGTGTGTGTGTGTGTCAGTGTGGCCACTTTGATGTCCAGTCTATCACCTGCTATTCCCTGCTGATCTATAACAGGTCTAGTACTCACCAATTCACTAATGACTGTGTGTGTGTGCATTATGTTCACGTCCATACATGCATATTACATCCCACCTGACAAAATCCTATTTACCCTCTGGCTATGGCTTTTGAACACAGTCCATTATTGTGCCCCCCGCGCGCACACACACACACACACACACACACACACACACACACACACACACACACACACACTGAGGGGTCATGGTAATAAATGGCTCTTATACACACTAGAAGGTCACAGGTCCCATGCTAAAGAGGAAATGTCTATGACATCACTTCCTTGGTATAGATGATCTTTAGAGGGGTTGCCATGACAACCACTCTCAGCAGCTGATGGGATAATTGGGGAAAGTGTGGGAGGTGTTGGGTTCATGTTTGTGTGTAATGCCACAATATGTACTAACTGTTCATCCAGACTCAGTAAAGCTTACTACAGACTATTTACTGCAGAAACTATAAACTCACTTCTGCTGGGTATTCCATCAACCCATCATGGTAATATTTTGTGATAACGTATACAGAAACATTATCTTTGTGTGGTAATGTTATTGAAAGCATGAACTCTGACTTGTGGTGCATTTATGTGTGAGGGGCCAAGAAATCTGAAATATGAGAGTGTACTGCTGAACAGCTCTGGTAATGAGGGCAAATCAAATCACACAATAAGCAAATATTATGACCAATATAATTCCCGGGTTCCTAGAAGGTCTTTATTGTCCCTAAAGTCAAAATGCTTGACTCGATCCATTAAGAAAGACCTTGACATATAGTTGAAAGCTCAGGAAACGGCTAGGTAACCTTGGATTAAAATAAAATTCTGTTTATTTCAAAGGTCTAAAATAAATTGTCATACGCTGTCTGAATGTTGTTACTGAAGCCTTTCCCTCCTGAAACAAATAAAAGTCTGTGTGTCACACTTTTTGTAATTTACTGGCATAATAATGGTACAAAACATTAATATAAACCATTAAATTACACGAATCAAACCCGAATCAGACATGGTTTAGTTCCATTCAGTATTGCAGAACCCTTGCACTGAACACCTATAGACATTATGTATGCATGTGTGTGAAATGAACCCTCCTTTCCTCTGCAAAGTCCTGCACAATTAACCCTCAGCCCCCCTATGGAAGCAGAGCAGAGACAAAACAAAGCGGTGTCAGATTGCAAACACAGCCCTGTGCACAAGCACCTCCTCCGGGGAAGGTAAGATGGAGGAAACTCGGATGGAGGGGGGTGGGGGTGCGTGGTGAAGGCACGGTTGCCAGGCGATAAAAGTGTATATGTGGATGTCACGCGTGGCAGGAGCTGTAGCTCGATGTTGCAGAATGACCTACTTTTAATCGAAAGGGAGAGAAAGAGCGAATGGAAAGAGAGAGTGGGAGAGGAGACAAAGTGGGGATGCAGCAGGAACACGAGCAGGTTCACTGGTTTAATTTTATACAGAGTCAGACAGGAAAAGAGCAGAGAGAGAGAGAGAGAGAGAGAGAGAGAGAGAGAGAGAGAGAGAGAGAGAGAGAGAGATGAAAGAATGAAAAAGTGGATGGAGTGGAATCTGTAAAAAGAAGAGAAGTGGATGCTAAGGTGATTGACTGGTCAAATACGTGTGTGTGTGTGTGTGTGTGTGTGTGTGTGTGTGTGTGTGTGTGTGTGTGTGTGTGTGTGTGTGTGTGTGAGTGTTTTTCCAGCCCTGAGGGGAAGCACCCTGCAGCTCAATTCCAGATAAGTCAATCCCAGAGCTCCTGGAGTGATGTGAGCTGAAGCACTTCCTGTGTCCACACAGTGTCTTTTATGAGGCTTCTTAATAAATGATGACTGCCACCTGCAGCACTGGGAATACCTGGAAGACTTGTTTAACTGAACTGGCCAGGCAGATACGTTTGGACTGAAGCTGATAATTTGTGCTTTTAATCAAACGATGTTGATGACAAAAAATAAAGCATTCCATATAGTCAGTGTTTCCTACAGTAAAAAAAAAAAGAAAGTGTAACCGGATGTCTCATATTTATTACTGCTAACTTGACCGTGGAGCCCTGCACGTCCAGATATAATGCTAGAGGGATACCTACAGCATCATATTTTAAAGCAGAGAACCACTAACTAAAAAGCAGTATGCTACATCTTATATCCACAAAAGACTGACACTATAACCACTGCAATGATAAATATCAAATCAGTTAAACTGCTAACTGGCATCTATCATATCAGATGCCAGTTTTTAATAAAAGAGCAATATCAGCCACACAGCCTGTATCAGACCCATCCCAAATCAGCAATATGTATTCCCATGATGCTAACCTGGTGGCCGAGTCCACAATAGGATTATACATTCATACACAAAACCACCTCACACAAGAAAAAACAAGCAGAGCAGACAACAGGACCACATCCTGCCAAGTCATCTGAATCCTCTGCAGTTCTTCCAGAACTGTGACCGTCAGCTCACACTGTCTGAACAAGAAATACAAGAGGCGGGAGGGGACCCCAATCAGTTTGTTACCCTCTGTCAGTTTCTACCCATCACATCCACAGACAGGATG